TTACACTTTATCTGCAATTTCACGAACTTTCCACATGATCGCAGATCAATAGAATCTTCTCCAACTGTAAAATTGTGGGTCAGATTTGGAATGGCCAATGTCTGACCATGAACACGCCGGCTGTTTTGGCTCACCAAAGGCAATCAACGTGATTCATTGAATTAAGCAAAATTTGACTATTTTCAATTTGCAGGAATATAGCTATCAGAGATCATATGGAAAATGAAAAATTAGATAAACCTCACAAATCACGGTATATATCAGAGAAAGGAATATTACGAAAGCGCTAATGCATCTTCTGTGTGGGTGCTTCCAACACCACAGGGAAGAGTTTCTGGTAAACTGACATCATCACATAATTTTTTAGGCAAATTACTGAAATTACTGTCATGTTTTGTTACTTTTTATCCAAATTAAAAACGTCTTACAAATCTGCGCCAGAGTCATGCAAACAAGATAATTCATTCGTGAGAAACATTATTAAAAATGGTAATTTTGCTATGACGTAATATTTGTGATAGAATTTTCCGTGAATAAATAGAGCCAACCTTGACTTGGTGGTGGCCTTTGAAGTAAAAGTGGATCTAGGAAGGGAATTCTCTGTTCTCTGCTGCTGTTCTCTGCTGTTCTGATAGCAGTCAAAGTGCAAACAAGTGGTTGAAAACTCGTTTTGTATTTTTTTATGATTATTTGTAGGTTTTGAATGATTTTTTCCTTTTCGGCAGTGGTTGGCGAATGTCATTGAGTAAAGTTTTCAACAAACCGGGGGAAAACTTCATTTGGTAGCAAATGGTTTTGCGAAATAAACGCGTCTGCTACGTTTTGCTGACGCACAAAAAAAATGAATCATGAATGATGTTTATTGGCGCCTTCAACCCCGTTGCTTCAACCTGTAAGAATCTTGGCTTCAACCTGCCTGTTGTTAATCAACCTAAGGTTCATTTTCTATTTGTCCTCATTAGCCCATATAGTCCTTACTCCTCACAGCCCTCATGGCTCATAGGGTATCTGGTGTCATCATAACTTGAAACTTGAATTGTCTGGAGGGCTGTTCACGGGCCATTGATGTGTGTGGTGTGGCCGCACACAAGATATAAGCTATTACCCTAATAATGGTAAGCTCTGTCTGCTGCCTCCATACGCCATCCTTCAGCCGGTGGACGGATACAGCACACAGACTGCCATGGATCTAGCCCATAGGGATTGTTAATCTACACAGCCTGGGATATCTTACCAACTACCATCCCCTATACCCATGTCTGCTGCACATACTGCACACACCACACCCATTAATTTGCAGCGCCATTGAACAGCCCTCATGGTGGTGCAATTCTATAGAGCCTTGGTGCAACCCTTGGCATCATCTAGCCTAGAAGTGTTTGTGTTGTTCTCTATATCATATATGTATTTTAATAGTTTCTGAAAGTTGAGGAAAATGAAAAAATCAACAGACACCAGCACCTCACCTACTGACCTAGTTATTCTGAAACATAACCTGAATGCCCTTCATCTATATTTGCATTTAAAACATCAAATGTAATACCTATTTTTATTTACTCAGTGAAAATGAATATAAATGCCTCTCTCACTATCTCCCCCTCTCTTACACTGTTCTCTCTCCTCTTTTTCACTCTATCCTCTAACAATCTTTCATTGCCCTCTTCCCTTGTATTCCATCTCTATCTCATTCTCTTTTCTTTATCATTCACCACTCTTGTGACCGCTTCACTATTCTGATTCTCTCTCTCTCTCTCTCTTCCTCTCTCTCTCTCTCTCTCTCTCTCTATCTCTCTCTCTCTCTCTCTCTCTCATCCTCTCTCTCTCTCTCTCTCTCTCTCTCTTCTCTCTCTCTCTCTCCCCTCATCCCTCTCCCTCTCCCTCTCCCTCTCCCTCTCCCTCTCCCTCTCCCTCTCCCCTCTCCCTCTCCCTCTCCCTCTCCCTCTCCCTCTCCCTCTCCCTCTCCCTCTCCCTCTCTCCTCTCTCTCCCTCTCCCTCTCCCTCTCCCTCTCCCTCTCCCTCTCCCTTTCCCTCTCCCTTTCCCTTTCTCTCTCTCTCCCTCCTCTCTCTCTCTTTCTCTCTCTCCCATGGTTTCTTTCCCTTGTGTCCCTCTCTGTCTCTCTCCTCTCTAACCCTCTTCTCTCCATGTTTCCCTTTGCTCTTTCTCTATCTTTGCTCTCCTCTCTCCCCTCTGAAGATGACTAAGTTCTCTGTTGAGTATGATTTTTTGATGCACCTATGTTTTACCAGGCTGCACAGCTCATGTGAAGTAGGTATTTAAGTAACTTTCTCAGGACCATCACTAAGTAGCAATGGTTGTGACCATTGGCTTTGAGGGTTCAGCAAACAAGATTGGAATTGGAATTATTAGAGATGGTGAAGTGCTGTCCAACCCACGCCGCACCTACATCACACCTCCTGGTGAAGGTAGGTATGTTTCTGGTCATTAGAAATGTGTATATTTGACTCATTTGTCATCACTGCTTGTGTGTTACTTAACCATTCTGGCTTGTATTGAATATTTTGTAGAACACATGACATGTTTGAATACTTGATAAGACAAAGGTGCAGTGGATAAGTAATCTTTATTAGATGGTTGCTTGATGGGCTTTGTGACTTGATTGTTGACATTGACTGATGATCTGTGTCAGGGTTTCAGCCAAGTGCCACTGCCAGGCACCACCAGGCCCATGTACTTGATGTTCTGCAGGAGGCTTTGGACATAGCCAAGGTATCTCTCAGTTAGATATATTTCTGCCTAATTAAAATCAGTGTCTCGTCTGTGGCATTATGCATGGCTTGTTTGAATCTGTTCAGGTGATAACATACACCTGCTAACTTTTCACCATACAGCTCTTCCTCTAGCCAGCATCACGTCCCTCTGATCAGGCCACCCCCTCACTCCCCGCTCCCTCCACAGATCACCCCTGACCAGATAGACGCCGTGTGCTACACCAAAGGTCCCGGCATGGGCGCGCCACTGGTGTCAGTGGCAGTGGTGGCGCGCACAGTGGCGCAGCTCTGGCAGAAACCCATCATCGGCGTCAACCACTGTATCGGCCACATCGAGATGGCACGGCTCATCACCGGCGCAGACGACCCGACCGTGCTGTACGTCAGCGGCGGTAACACCCAGGTGCGGATGGTGCCGCCGGGACGGGCTCTGGATCCTCGTTTGCGGGTCTCGGCAGTGTGCAACGGAGGGTGGGTATGAGTGCGATGGAGATTAAATGAGGCTTAGAATAAAGCATGGTTTTGCGTCTTCGGCGGCTGATTTGGGCAAACCGTGATGCTTTTGAGGTAGGTAGGCGAACCATTTCCTTTTCATGAAATATATCGAAACAAATTGCAACAAATGTTTCTGCTTGAAATATGTCAATGTGAAGGTCTATCCTGATTCCTGACCGACCCCTCCTGTGTCCCTGTATGTACAGGTGATCGCCTACTCGGAGCGCAGGTACCAGATTTTCGGTGAGACAATCGACATGGCCATCGGCAACTGCTTCGACCGGCTGGCCAGGCTGTTGAAACTCTCCAACGATCCCAGTCCCGGCTACAACATCGAACAAATGGCCAAACGGTGCGTTACTCGTGAACTTTTGAAGAGCCATGGGAGTTTCGAGCGAATTACCGCGCGAGCGTCTGTAAGCACGCCGCTGTTTTGCACTGTTACGTGTGAAAGCAGGTATCTGGCATTTTATTTTCTTAAGTGTAGGTTTTCTGCGACAAAGTGTATCCCAATGCTTGTTTTTCGGGCTCAACGATGTTTTTATTTTTCGTTCTACCTTCATGCTCAATCGTTCGTCAATCAATATTTCCTTGTCTTTGAGATTTATGTCCTTTGAAACTTGAAAGACATATTTCTTCTGAATTAGTTCCCTGCTCTATTTACTCTGACCACCACATCTTGCTCCCCAGGGGTCAGCGCCTAGTGCGGTTTCCGTACGTTGTTAAGGGCATGGACGTGTCGTTCAGTGGGATGTTGTCGTTTATCGAGGAGCGGTTAGACAAGTGGCTGGCCGGCGAGTACACCCCAGAGGACATCTGCTTCTCGCTGCAGGAGACCGCCTTCGCCATGCTGGTGGAGACCACAGGTGGGTCTAACCTGCCGTGTTTGTCGCCATGATTGGATCTGGGCTCTTGGTCCGTTCAAGATCCGTAATTTATCATGTAAATTACTGAAAGCATGGTTGGCGAATCGTTGAAGGCTTTCTATCTGGTCCAAAATCGCTGACTAAAAAATAGAAATATGTAGAATAATTTTAGAGTGAGTGGTCCCGGTGCCCTTCGTTTGTTACCCATCGATCTGATCTGACTCCCCATGTTCGGCAGAGCGTGCCATGGCGCACACGGGCAGCCAGGAGGCGCTGATCTCTGACCGCTACTTCTGTTCTACAGAGCGTGCCATGGCGCACATGGGTAGCCAGGAGGCGCTGATCTCTGACCGCTACTTGATACTTCTGTTTGGCAGAGCGTGCCATGGCGCACACGGGCAGCCAGGAGGTGCTGATCTGTGGCGGCGTCGGCTGCAACCTGCGTCTCCAGGAGATGATGCGGATTATGTGTGAGGAGCGCGGCGCCAAGGTGTTCGCCACTGACGAACGGTGAGGGCTCGAGAGGACGAACGGTGAGGGTTTGCCGCGGACGAATGGTTCGTGCCCTCTGATAACAATGCCCACTCGGGGGGAAACAAGCTTGAAGAGTGTATGGTTACCGGCTGGAGCGTGGTTAAAGTGGACACAGCGAGAGAAGAGATCGTTCGCTGGAAAATTGTTGGCTTTCTTACCGATTCTGAAATAAGCCATGACTAGATTGGTCACGAATGTAGACTTTACTTCACACACTGATGGTATCGCGTTACCTTAGACAGTCTGTCGCCCACTAGCGCCCTCTGGTCACTAAACCACCGCCAACAGAATACCCCCACGACGAGTTCCGACACCTGTCCCGTTTTCACCAGGTTCTGTATCGACAACGGTGCCATGATCGCTCAGGCCGGCTACGTCATGTTCAAGTCCGGCGTCACCACTCCTCTGGAGGACACCTTCTGTACTCAGAGGTGAGAGCTCGGGCGTTTCGGACGGGAAGTGGAGATCTTTGAGATGAAAATGTGGGTGAGATAACACAGGAATTATTCACTCGTTATGTGGCCCGTAAGCTGATTGATGGCAGCCTCGCGAATTCCCTACGATCTTATTCATTTGTTTTGATTCGTTCACGTTTCCTGTCGTTTTCTTTGATTGAGGAATTTGCTACGGTATTCGGTATGAAGAGGTCCATGGAAACAATGACCAGCATTTTGAAACGTTTAAGTGTAACTATGCAACTTCAATTCTACTCTGCCGGAGTAATAGCTTAGGACGTTGGACTCGACACAGCCAAACCCTGATTCAGGGCTTACAGCCCCTCCTCGACTGGTGAATTGTCTGACTCTAGTTAACCTCGTCGCCCCTCCCCACACCCCTCTCGCCGCCAGGTATCGAACAGACGCCGTCGAGGTGACATGGAGAGACCCGTAGTCACGCTGTTCAGTGTTCTGCTGACAGCAGCCTCATCAGACCATCGTACGACCCGGCCTGAAACTGCCCAGTCGGGTCACCTGTTATCACACCGCAATACACATGTGAGTCATACGGTGGTGTTTGTGTTCGAAGTTGTGGCATCGCCTAGGTCTGGCGACGTTATTGAGGTTATAGAGATAGAGTTATAGAAATTGGGCGACTGACATTGCTCTCAACAAGAACAAAACAAACAAACGTGATATTGTTGGCTAAACAGATGGGTGCCCCAGATGCCCAGGTCATCACCATCTAATTTATAATGAAACCATGGCAATTGCATCCAAACAGAGTCTTTGGATAACTTTTTCCATTAACTCATCGGTCACTTACGTATACGTTATATTCATACACGTCGTCAGATAAAACACATGCACGCATTACGCGGGCACTGAATAGCCACGTTTACACGTCATTGGCACTGTGTTATGGCCGAATTCTCTCGGCCGGAACGGAGTTAGCTGGCGGCCTTTCATCCCTCCCCCTGCCCACCCCATCCAGCCCAGACCCTAACACATGTTCTTCGGACCGGTCGTCGCCCGATCTCATCCCTCATGACACATAAGCACCTGTGTCACGGTTTCAGGTTGTCCGATTCTATCCCCCTCACATGACACATAAACCACTTGTGTCACAGCTTGGCCTCTGTACAGTCAGTTTGTCCGTGACCTCCAATATGACACAATATGACACTCCGGCTGCGGTTTAGCCGGTGTCACGGTCAGTTTGTACTGCTCCCGGTTCGCGCGAGCATCACAGTTCCCAGCCTTAACACCACTTCTCACCATTCTTCGGCGACATCTTACAGCGTTCGCTGCTCCGCACGACTGTCGTTTGTCCTTCGTCTGCCACCTATTCACAGGCGCCAGGTTGTCAATCTTGCGGCACGACATTCACATTTGACCTGGCACGGTGACGCGGCGCATATAACACGATCAGACTCGGCTTTTCAGGAGATGGGAATGTCCTCATCAACTCTGTGCTCCTTCATTGCACGCTGCGATCTCCGCGCCATGTCACTTTGCGAGGACTTTGAGTTCCGCTGCCTTTACGGATTGATTCCCGCGTCTGGCAGGGTCTACATTCCGCACCAGATCGATCATCGAGCCCTCTTTCCGATCTCCATCACAAAACGACACTGGGCTGCTGTCCGTACTCCGGTCGACCCAGGTCCGCCGGTTTCATTTCGGCGCGCCAGCGGTGTGGCGGCTACTTGAGCACGTTCCCCGGGTCGTCGCCGTACGCCATGAGCGCCTCGTCCAGCTCTGCGTCCGGTATCTCCTCGTTATCGTCCTCGGAGCACCGGAGACACCTGCGGGGACGCGGGGAGGGGTCACGCGACGGTGTCTGAGCACGGGGGCCAGTCAGGGGAGAGGACAGAAGGACACAGCTTTCAGTGCCATGGTTTATGGCGCAATGGTTGTAAGTTCAAACGGACGTCTTATTTTGCGCTGAAGCTGTAAAACTCCGTGGCAAAATGCTTTTCAACTTACGAGAAAAAGGGGGTTTATTATGCATTACGCTTAGAAATTGTGGCCATTGGAGGCTGCAGCTTCTTGCAACCACGTGAGGTCTGCCCGTTTGGTGCTGAATGATTGCCTTCGTGGCCGGTTATTATCGTATTACTAAGTTCCTTAGTTAAAGTTCATTAGATAAGAGCATGAAGAGCAAAGCGACCTTTCCCACATACCTTCATGTAAGCGCCCACGAGTCCATGGTTACCGTCCCCTGGAAGCCAGCTGCAAGTCGCGGTCATGCGGAAGTGTCCCCGCCGTCCATCACAATAGCAGCATCCTGGGCACCTGTGCCGTCTGTGCAGCATTAGCCATTACAAGCCTGACCCCGCCAGCTGTTTGGTACTCGGATCCCGAGAAACCCACCACCACCTGTGGGCCCTTAGTGCGGTGGTAGGCTTTATATGCAGATAAACTCATGATACAGGTCACGATTGAATGCATTTACAACATTGGTCGATCATCCTTGCACTTACTATGCGCCATGCATGCAGTTAAAAATTCAGGTATGTGAATTCAGTCCGTTCCAGTGGCATAAATTGCAGCCTACATCATCTGCTTTCTACATTCGCTGGAACAAGCAAAAGCATGATACATCCGTAATTGCTTCCTGAGATGAATTTTTCGGCAGCAGGATGCCGTCTTCCGTATATACCTAGGCCTAAATGCAAAGCTTGAGTACAGTCGAAGAACAGTCAACAAATATTTTACACAAATATCGCACAATGTACATCGCAAAAGTCACAATGCACATCGATTGTCGCTTGCTGATAACTTGCCATTTTTATGCGTCATTCTGTCACCAATTAGGACAATAAATATACTGGATTACAGTCAAGTTTGGTTTCTCCTTAAAACGAACAGGAGCGTCATCAAAGTCAGAATAAATCGTAATAAAAACAGAGCAGAATGAAACTAGATGTGGCCCGCACGTCTGAGCCAGACATCCAACACGACCGCACTCAGCTTGCTTCGAATTCACTGCCGGTGTTTTTATCTCAACCACAAACGTTCTCCTGAGATCACTCTTTGGCCTCGGCTTCCTAACAGACCTGGTACCGAATCTCAGCCACCGGTCACATATCAGTGTTCCTTCAGCCGTGCAGGCGCCATCGGCGGCGGTGCGTCTCCATCCCTGAGCCGAGTTCCTGAATTCGCTGAATTTCCTGCACATTTGTCCGTCCCTGAGCGATCCGCGCACCGGGCCGATCCGAGCTGAGCCGTTCGGCTGTCGGCGCCTGCGCAGTGCGTCTGTCCGTCTCACACCTCTGTCATCTCGGCCATCAGCACCTGGTCCAGCTGGTCGTCGCTGAGCTCACCCTCGTCATGCAGCATGTCCTCGATCCCGTCGCTGCAGCCGAGACACCTGCAGAGGAGCGGAGGGAGCGGAACAGGGGTGTGGGTAACCCCGACAATAGCGAAAACGGGCACCGAGGGTCCGCAACCGCACCAGCAGATCGCATGCGTGTTTGACAAAGCGGTTCAAGTTAGCTGAAGCACATTAGTGTTTGCGTGAGAAGGGAGCATTTATTTGCATCCGGCGCGTTCCCAATTTCCGAATGAAGCGGGAAACCTTTTGATAGTTACATGTGATATGTGATTTTGATAGTGTATGTGAGAAGAAGGTCACGTTAGTGATTCAGTGACAACCGGAGGCGGTTTGTCATGACTGCAAACCCAATTCCCTTTGCGCTCATGTGTAGTGTTGTTCACGTGGCCCGGTATAGCTACCGCACAGCGCGCTAATTCGTTATTTATCCATCACCTTCCATCTCTCTCTCTCTCGGTCATCGTACAATCCAGCTCAGTGTCTGACATTTGCACCGCCCTCCACTCCACCCCTCCGCTCGGCACATACCTGCTCTCGTTGATACCGAAGTTGATGCACGTGCTGCCGATGCACTCGCAGCAGCCGTTGTGGAACCAGCGCACGCTTCTGGCGCCCATGGTCTGGCACGAGAAGGAGCACTTGGCCCAGGAGCGGCACTGCGTCAGGTAGGCCACCGTGCAGTTGACGGTCACCTGCTGCGGCTCCGTGCCGCCCTCTGGCGCGCTCTCGTCCACTGACACTGGTAAAGAGAGGGAGAGGTGTGGGTGTAGACGGTGATGGTGAGCCCTAATAGGAAAATAATAAATCCACAGCACTGATCACTAACGAGGTCTTACGAGTTATATATGTAAAACAGTACCGCCCCGAGGCTCACCTATTCGGATTTGGTACTTGTGTCCAAAGTCGACGATCTGGTGGTCCACGGGAAACGTATAGCTGATCCAGCGCTGCTTGGGGTCGTGCTTGTTGGTCAGGGTGCTGAAGAGGCCGATCTCGGGGTCGTGGAACTCCTCCACCTCAGAGTGCATGGCCAGATCGGACCAGCTGCGCTCCGGCTTCGGGCACATCTCTGCAGTGTAGGGAGGGCAGGTGAATGATTAGTGAGCGAACAGCGCGGCGTGAGATCGAATCTCGGTGGCGCCGTACCTCTGTTTACACGGGGTGATAATCAAATGACAAAATTCGTGCGACTTATCCGTTTTTGACTCCTTTGATACGCGGCCAAACATGACTCAAGTGCATTTTGTATATAGTTATTAAAAAAAAAACATTGATGGGTTCATTAGGACACTGAAATGGCGATAAGTAGGTACGAGTAAGAGACCTCTTATCCCGCCGAGTGAATCAAAGCACAGAGGGCTATACATACAGCTAACCACCAAGGGTTGGCCGTCACAGCCCTATCTCTCTGAATCGTGGACAGCCTGGCGTGCTCAAGGTGTGCCGAGAGCCTGCGGAGCCGGCGCGGCCGATAGGGACCGCGTGCCGGGGAGCTGGCACAGCCCGGCGCCGGCCGTTTTTGCCGTGGCGCCGCAGACAGTACGGCGAACGGAAACCGGTTTGCGACGAACCAGTCGGCCTGCCTTCTCCCGGCCGGAATGTATAATCGCGTCTGGTCCCGAGAAGCCCATGGCCCGTCACGGAAGGCGGTGCTATACGCTCACTACAAAGGGGCAGGTAAACGGGGAACCTGTACGTCCCAAAAATAAGTGGCTGTCTTTTTAGAACATCAATCGCGTGCATACAACTATTCGGCGAGGCTGATTGATCTGTCTGTATCTATATTCTATAGTCATGTGTGCGATGCGTTTACTGTAGGTATGTATGTACTGCGGGAGAATTTCGCCTGGACAGATTGTCATGCCCGGTTTCTCGGAGCAAGTCTCAGCTCAGCTGGACTAAACTTGACGGGCCGTTTTGTCGAGACAATCGTCTTACACCAGATTCAGTAGGTGTCGTAACGACAGGACTACATACCCAGCTAACACCTTCGGTAGCGAAATAATTCAGGAGAAGGGTGACACAGGCCTGAGACTACGACCTTCCATCGCCCTGACCCCTCGAAAGGGCACTCACTGAAGCAATAGCAGCACTCCTCATACAAGTTGTCGAGGCACTCGGAGCACTCCTTGCAGCACGTGCAGTTGGACAGGTCGGTCATGTCGCACTTGCAGCTGCCGGTCAGCATGCACTTGGAGACGATACTGGCGCAGACGGCCTCGTTGCAGGCCAGTCCTGGTGTGGTCCACCACAGCGCGAGCAGGAGACACACGGCCGCCGACACAGTCCGCAGCGGCTCCTGAAAGGAGGGAGGGGAGGGTCAGCAGCTCCTATCGGGAGGAAAGGGAGCGTCAGCGGTTCCTGTGGGAGGGAGAGGAGGGGAGGGTCAGCGGACAGCGGTTCCACAGGAGGGAGAAGGTCAGAGACTCCTGATGGAGGGAGCGGGGGGGGGGGGCAGCGTCCAACGGCTACTACGGGGAGGAAGAGGAGAGGGAAGGGTCAGCACCTCCTGTAGAGACGGGGTTAGCGTAATATGCGGGAGGGGAGAGATTAGTGTCTCCCGAAGGATATGAAGCGAAGAGAACATCTCTAGGAGAAGTTCACAATTTAACGACCGACTTTGTGCATCCGATACTTTATCCTCCATACCACCTGAAGCGCCCACGGCAACCGCGCTGGCTGCGGTTTTGAAAGACCTTGGATCGCTGCCATTCTGATGTATCCCCATGTGCACCTGCACGGGGAGTGCTGCCCTCCCCCCCCCCCGCCCTTCCACAGCTGCAGAAGATGGGGTTTTCTCTGTGATCGCCGTGATGTGGCGCTGGCTGGAGCCGTGGCGCTGCGACTCTCCGCTCTACGTGACTTTCAGCTTAGCTCCTCAATCATTGGCGGCGACGCACGGAAATTGTTGCAATCACTGCTACACAAGAAGCATAATTTTGTCGGACACGATTGGGAACTTCCACTAATAGGTACTCGTTTTATTGTGTTGCATTTACATTTAACCCCTCATGAGGCCCGGACCTGTCCGCTTTTTACATATAACCCTCGCCCTTTCGACCCTAATTGAGCTGGCGATTCGCAAAAAAAAACATGCGCATTGCGCACCATTACAAGGCACTAGACGCAACGTCTGGCCTACGGCTCGGTGTTTAGTTGTTTTTTATTTGTTCTAGTCACGAATGGCTGAAGGTGTATTAAATCGCACCACACTGGTGGTCCAATCGTAGCGTATCGAGGCGAGAAAGAAGTTGTATGGCCTTATCTAACTGTTGGGCCACTTCGCGACATGCTTGAAGGACGTTCGAAAGGTCGTCAAAAATCACGAGTAACGTATTCCGGTCATTTTTAGGTCAGGTAAATGGTCATTGGTCAGATCACCAGTCACTAGAGAATCATCAAGGGACAAATTCTCTCGATTTCGTTAATTGGCAAATTTGTTAATAGCTCGGAAAGTAAAAGCTAGGTACAACATAGCGGAAAAAAAGCATTGGGTAGATCTTTTAAAGCTCCTTCACGAGCACGCCCTCAGCGCGTTGACCTAAGATCAACGACGCATGGTGACAGTTCTACAGTCAGTTCAAGTTGTAGTTCCCTAACCACCGTGTGTTTGCGTTAGCAATGACTTCCAGTTAGTGTGCAGTAGCAGATCCTATTCCCGCTTCACACTTTATGATTTAAATTCCATGTTTCGCCAGCACTACACGGGTACGATAAGTAGCGTAGCCAGTACCTACTGAATGATTAATGACAATGTAAGTGTGAAGATGACATGCCGTGTGGCCATCGGAGAATGCCAAGAATACCTATAGTGTGTAAACACGACCAGATTCACCTTCAGCCTGTGGAAAGTAGGCAGGTAATCTACGTTCTTTAGTGCACTGTGCCCGTCGCTGCAAGCTTTATGCCCGTATGACTGATAAATGTAATGTAATAAAAGACATGCCGTGAGCCGCTTTCAGTGTCGCTTTCTTTGTAGTTGCATGCTTTTGGCGGGCACCAGCAGTGAAGCATTTTAGCAGGGAGTGGACCGACCTTGGTATTTGTGTTGTTATTTTATGGAAATCGCTATGCAAAGTATACCTAAACAAGCATGCCATTTCAACGTCATATTATCAAGACATTGCGATTCTTCTGAAAGTGCACTTGCTAGATACTCACTTCTCAATGGTTCATTTTAATTGTTTACTTCGATGCTTTAATTTCAAAGCACGCTGCACGAGCTTCACGATGCTTTTGTCTCAGAATGCAGTGTCTCAGTACCATTCAGTTGCCGACCCTCGCGTTCAGTGCTACTGGCCTGTGTGTCGATGCAGTCTCCACGGATGGTTCTACTAAAAAGTCTGAAAGTTTGACGAGACACGCATGTCCAGTACATGCTTTAACACCGTTTAAACGAATAAGTAACATTTCCGCAGCGCACGATAAACGTTACGCAGAATGGGTCTCTTTGGTGCCCCCAAAACCTACCCACAACCATTTGGACAGGTGGTTGAGCCCCTACCTTAAATAAAAGAAAATAATTGTCATCCTTAGACGAATCATGATTTAATCCTGGTCAAAAGGATTTTACATTTATCTGTGTAAGACGGTGTGGCATGTTACCATAAGCTTTACTAATTCCTGTAGGAATAGGGAAACGAGTACAAATATGATCTTATATTAGAATTTGGTAAAATGCTCAAACGTTCCAGCGCTATCCGTTCCAATTTATTAGAGTAAGTAGTAAATTGTTAATTGAGTGACTACTTTTTTCGCGGCAATTAATGCGACATGGTGGCCGCTTGAGGAAAATTATCCATTGCACATGTGTCTTTTTATTTGAGTCCTGCCTGACCGGCACAAAAACACCTACATCCGCGATCATCTTTACCTAGGCAAGGTATGATGTAGCAAGGTTTAATGTACGATACTTATTTTAGCTATCCTTCTCAGACCGCCAAGCTGGGCAGTTAAGCACGAGAAAGTTAAATAATACAGGTATATAGGACAGGTAACAGTTAAACTGGGTATTATAGGTAGGTTGGATGAAGGTGTCCGGGAACGCTATCAACGCGTATGAATTGTCATGCCTACATTATTTTTATCATATGCATGCGTATAAGGATACATTGGTATACATTACATAGGTGTATGTAGTATCGATCGGAAAAAGTGCTTAACGCTGCTTTCCTGATGATGATTCAATTTCAACTTATCTGGAAGAGGCAAAACGATGATGCTTGATGATTTGTCCCATCTCTCATTCAAGTTTCTCGACGAATCCCGGAATGTTTCAATGCCCTTTAAGGGCTCTAAATGCCAAACGTGTGCTTTGTTTATTTCTTCCATGAGGTTTACCGGTGTCAAGCACTACCGATACTGAGTCCGTGTTAGTGCAGTGCTCGCGCAGACCACCCAGGGATTCCTGGGCCCCAGCGCGGGGTCCGCTCGGACCGGGCGGCGGGGACCACCGCGCCGGGCGGCCCCTGTCACCTGTCCGCCGCCGCCTCCCACCAAACGGCCGGACCGGCGCGGCCGCAAAAACCCGCGCTGATGCCTTCCGCGACACTCCCGGCCCCGCCCATCACACCTGTCACCTACCATGATGGTGCAGTGACGCTGCGTGCAGCTGGAACTCAGCACACACTCGCACTCACTCGCTGGCTCGCGCGCGCGCGGGATCGGCTGCCCGGTGCTGTCCGGATGCGCTCACAGTGTGCACTGACGGGCGCGCGATCAGCCGCTGTCCCCGCGCGAGCGGCCGGCCCCGGATTCAGACAACTATCGGCCCGGCCGCGGCCAGCGCGTCTCGACCCCATCGGCGCTCGTCGCTCGGTATGTGCGCCCGAAGCAGAGGATGGTTATCTGATGTTTTTTTTTTTCTAACGTAGGTTTGATGCATCGTATGTTTCTCTGTGTATTTCTTGCGCTGCTCCTACGTCAGGAAAGCGGATTTCGCTGTTTTATTTTTTATGATTTAGGTATATTTTACTTTTTGTTGTTTATGCCGCTACGATGCAAATAGGTTTTTATTTTCTTCATATTCACTATTTTAAACGGACCACCACGCGTGCTCAACTTCAGATCGTAACGTCTAAACTGGGCTTGACCAATCGACGATTCGCAACATGCTTAACGGTTGACAGACATCGACATACATACCAAGGTTAGAGCAGGTAAAATATCGACCGGCATGGTAAGCCAAAGGTGCAAAAACACGTCGGCGAAGATCAAGGAATGGATAGTGTCTCCCGGCTTTTTGCAGTGCCGAAACTTCTTGGGAGAAGCATCGCTGAATTATTGCTGCGCGGCTCAGTAGATGAACTGCCATTTGGAAGTCAGCCAGATGATGCTTATGTGAGTTATACCTACACACCCATCAAAGGATGGAAACAACACGCAAGGAGTCTTTCACACGAGTTCTGTACAGTTTTTCCTTTATGGATGAACCAGCCTATTTTAATAAAAACCGCAAGCCACAAATAAAAAGCACAACTTTGAACTCTACCGCAAATGAGCAGGAAATTCGAGCAAACTTGGTGTTGCAACAACCTCTTTCCTTCAGTGATAGTCTTTCAGTGAGGCCCATAGACTTGTTCTTGTTCAAGCAGGAAAATGGTGACACTCATAAGTTACAACTCTTTGATATTTATTAGAGCCTGTTACAGCCAGTATATGATGGGTTTTATATGATGGCTCATTTACGTGTGGCAAGCAATGGATTTCCAGCAATGTTCGTGTGGCAAGCAATGGATCGCTGCGTTCCAGTGCCATTCAAATACCAACTCCCACATCCAGTGTTACTGGCTTGTGTGTAAATGCAGTCTCCACGGGATAGTTTCCTGCCGCCCGTGGCAGTCTCTAGGGCTATTGGTCAGTGATGGCTTCCTGTGCTCCTATGAAGTCTGCTATGCTCCACTGTCGTGTTATGCCAGTATGCTTATGGTCCAATAGTCAATGGTGCTGGAGGACGTATGTTCAGCATCTGCCGCCGCTATCTCCAGATTCGTTGGTGATAGTGCGTTGTTCGAGAATGAAGTCTCCGTTCGAATAGGTTACCGTTCTAGGTGCTGTTGCAGTCTCCCGCCAATGCGCCGCGAGTTTCTTCCAATGATGGATGTAGTGTCTGGAAATAGCAATTGAGAGTCGATTAGACTTCTACGGCGTGCAGTTTGTATGGCACGAAGAAAATCCACCTTAGACTCAATCTCAGATATTTTAAGCTTGGATCTTATATGATAATTTTAGGTACCTATGCTCCACATAAATTGAGCGATGGGTAGGCGCACGTTTGAAAATTGCGGCCGATGATAACCTGGCCGGATAAGGCACCTCTCTCCCGTTACTCCCTTAAATATGGTTATAAATATGACATATGGTTATATAGTAGATATGTAAAGAGTGTTCACGCATAAATTTTCACACTAGTGAAGCTGTAGCGCTGTTTTGTTATGCAAAGACCGATGATGGCTGACGCTAAATGTCACCAGTTCCGGCTCGGTCCCCGATATATGGCTAGTATTTGTTACTCAGCTTTCACAGCGTCAGCTCTCACATCCTCTTCCATTTCACTCTCACTGCCTGGTGAGTATCTTATCCAACAACAACAACAAAAAAAAAACATCTCGAGACCAGGATATGGAGTTCCTGGCAGCCTCCGCACGTGTGACCGGTGGCACGTGCGCCACACGTGGCGCGTGATTCATTTGGTGTGGTTATACTGCTGTGGCCGGATAGTTGTAACCGCAGGTTGTTTGAAAAGACAAACACTATTCGTTAGAATTGTGTTTTTCTATTGAAAAACAACCGGAGCGGTCGTTCTCCGGGCTATGTTTTGCAAGTCTGGCCGCGAATTGGGGCAACTTGGGTCAGGCCTAGACGAAATGTACAATCTTCGTAAAAAGTTCAGTGTATGGGCTCCCGGGGGCGATCTACCTGATGGCTTCGGTCGCTACTCGCTTAAAACCTCGTGGCACGTGGCACGTGCGATTCCATTTTCCCCATGTTAAGTCAATGGGGTTTTGGACACTTTTTGCGCGATCGCCAGTGGCGGGAAAACGAGCCAAGGAAGAGGTGGTTTTCTTCCCAGCATTTTATGGCAAACACGTTTGGGTACACGCTAGTGTGCGCCGTATACCCCTCAGAACTTCGTAACGTGACTTTGCACGAGGTCAAAGTTGAACTTTTTTCGCTCCCCATGTTAAGTCAATGGGCATTTTTGCAGAGACTTTTTCATTCGCTCATTGTACAAAATTATATGATACGATTTTGTTTAAACTTCCAGGACTTGTTGAGAAAAGACCATAGAACATGTTGTTATGCTTCTTTAAGCTGTGCAAATTCGTTTGTTCTTTTTAGGCTCGTTTAAAAATGAAAAATTTTAACATGGAAAGTCAATGGGAGCGTCTTTGCTGCGTAATAACTTTTTACAGTTGAGATATATTTATGTGAAAAGTTGATAGGTTATACAACTTTTGATGCTCTTTCCAATGATATATACAACTTTATTGCACGTGGTGCCGTTTTTGAGAAATATAGTAAAAAAGCACGACATTACCGAGATTTGAGCTCAGACCTATATCGTTACGGTGTCAGGCGGACACGAGGACAGGTGGCGCCGCCGCCGCCCGCATAGCGGCGGGAATGTGAACTAACCTGTTTACCATCTATGGTATGGTACCATCGGGGGACCGGCCGCCGTCGGCACCATTTCGGGACTTTGCATCGCAATAAAAGGCTTATTTACAATTGAAAATGGACTAGCGAGAGTCGTTATGGAATCAGAATTTGATGCTCTACAAAACTAGGCTATTTTCATTGTGATGGCATCACAGACTACACCGCTAAACCCAATAAAGCAGATTTATGTCGCGTCATCGATGATTACATATAATGTATCATTCTTTGATATATATGTAGTCGGGTCTTTCAGCTGCGTCCCTCCCCTCCCTCGCCGCGCCGGCGGGTCGGCCATCCGTGGCTTGCCGCCCGCCGGCTGCTGGCCGGTCAGCTGGCCGGTCAGCTGGTCGCCCGCGGCTGTCGGTGCAGTGCGGGATGCCTACTTGCGGGGGGGGGGGGGCCGTCGTGGCGGCGGCCCGGGTGGACTGGGCGAGCAGTGAGTTGGGGAGCGCTGCGCTGTCGGTGCTCTAGTTTGTATTGCGTTCGCATGATACGGCTTGAGCCAATACAGAGTGAACTGATTGAGCTGAGCAAGTCTTTACATACATTGAAAAGTAAAGCACTTTTTACTGCATCTACGGTGAGATGCTAGATAAAATTTATGGTCTACCTAATGGTACCCATTACTTAACAATTAAGTGAATCATTTCGTCGCTAAACTCTCGTAAATTCGTATGTCCGCCTCACTATGGAGTTTGGACCGTAACGTATGGCCTTTGCTCAGACAGTATACGAACAGGTGACGGGGATACCTCTAATAGAAGGATGCGACACGATTTTACTGCTAAATAGCGGCCGGCCGCCGTGGGGACGTTTTTGTACGACTTATATCTCGGCAACCACTGGGCTGATACACGTGCGGTTTTTTTGTGTGGGGTAGCTTTTTCCCTTCTTTCACATAGTGTGCTACTCTCGATGCATATGGGTGACCCCTAACGCACGTTCCACGTGCAAAGCCAAGAGGTGCCTGTTTTGTAATAAGCGCAATAGCTCGCGGTAATTACTGGGCCGATTGCGCTAAAACTTGGCATGGAGGTAGACACTTTCCAGGCGATGCATTTCCATGTGTCTTGGTAGGGGTGCAACTGCACGTGCGCACGTGCAGGGTGACGCTTCCAGATCTCGAGAACGGCTGGACCGATTGTGTTCAAATTTGGCATAACGCTTGATACCGATCAGTAGGTTGCAGTCATTTAGTATGTATTTCCATGTGCCACGATTGGGGTGCAACTGCACGTGCGCACGTGCAGGGTGACGCTTCCAGATCTCGAGAACGGCCGGGCCGATTGAGTTCAAATTTGGTACACCGCTAGAGACCGATTAGTAGGGTGCCGTGCGCAAGTCAGTTTGGACCCATCTTGCACGTGCGCACGTGCAGGGTGACGCTTCCAGATTTCAAGAACGGCTGGACCGATTGCACTCAAATTCGGCAAACATCTAGAGATCGATCAGTAGGGTGCCGTGCACAAGTCAGTTAGTATGTATTTCCATGTGTCACGGTTGAGATGCAACTGCACGTGCGCACGTGGAGGGGTCGTTTCAAGATCTTGAAAACGGCTGGGCCGATTGAGCTCGAATTTGGTACACCGCTAGGGACCGGCGAATAGGGTCCCATGCACAATGCAATTGGACACAGCTTGCACGTGCGCACGTGCAGGGTGACGCTTCCAGATCTCGAAAATGGCCGAGCCGATTACACTCAAATTTGGCACACCGCTATAGATCAGCGAGTAGGGTGCCGTGCACGTCAGTTTGTAACACACCGACTCCGGTCTGCACGTGCAAGGCTCATCCTCTCGTTTGGCGGCGGGCGTTTTTGCTGCGTTTACAAAGGTGCTTGCTCAAACAACCTGCGGTCCCGCGATGCGGAGCCCAGCATCGCAGATGCTGGGTATGAATTGGCCTCTGACTCCCATTGAGAAGGTGCGGTCGGACCGGCGCACACCTGTGGCTCCGCTGCCCCCCGCTGTCCGACGCGCCTCCCGCTGACAGGGGCGACCCCAGGTGACTCGGGAGGGGCAGTGGGGAGGTCACAGGGGCGCCACCCTCCTCACCCCTCCGCGCCACAGCACCCAGTCCCAAATACCTCACAAGTCCGCCCCCCCTCCCCGAACTAACCGGAAATACCTCTCCCCCATCCGCGGCCCTGAGTGCGCCCCTGGATGGACAGGTGATTTACACATCGTGGCGCGTCCCCGCACTGTCGCGGCGGGCCTCGAGGAATGGCGCGCGCCAGACGCCGCGGCGCCGCGTCGGGCCGGGCCGGCATTCTAGTCAAGGTGAGTGGGTCCCTGATCGGTGGGACCGGCGCAGGTCCGCCGCGGCGGGACCCGAAGGGACCGGAGGACCGGGGAGGGGAAGAGGGGAGGATAGGTACCGGGGAGGGACAGAGGGGGGCAGGTACCGGGGAGGGGAGGCAAAAGTAGGAAAGAAAGGAAAGAGCTCATGAAGCGCGGCAAGACTACGCGTCTTTATATCCATGACGCGACTGGACTCTGGAGGAGGTTATGTAATTACGACAGAGGGGACGAGGGAAGTCGACGAAGACGACACAGACACACGCAAAAGAAAAAAAAACGAGAGGATTGCTACGAATGTGCCAATGCAGGTCACCGTCAATCGTTCCGGGTCCAGGGGGACTCAGAAACTGCTGGCACTCGTCAAGGTGGACCGGTAATCAGTTCTAAAAGGCGCCCCGGCATGGAAGGGATCGTAAAGATCTAGTGATGTCAGTTGCAAAACCATGCAGTTGGAGACCGATACTAAACCCAATACGGACCAACTGAAAACAAGAGAGAATACCAGAACCAAACCAACTTCGGCATTGGATAGAAATACCAACTTTTTACCGCCTTAGGTGCATCCAATTACCTTAGTGAGCGTTATCACAATACCAACAAAATACCAAAAGTGTCAGGACCGACAGGACCGAAATACCAAATAAAAGTAAGTGTCGGTTTGGTATCGATATACCAAAAAGTTGGTATTCAATGGTAAGATTCCATAACTTCAAAATAAAAATGAAATCGGGAGCACATTCCCCTCTACCGTGTGTTGCATCGTGATCAATCAAAGAAGCGGCAACGGTGAAGTGAGCTGCTTTGTTACGAATGAAGGACCCACTAATTCGGTTCGAGCACCAAAGCCGGACAAGATCAGTCGTCGCGGTGAGCGATTTGCGTACTTTTGTTTATCTTCCTTCCACTTAATGGACAGCAGTTATGCTAAACATGGTTATCAGCTACCTTTCGGGTTGTCTTTCATTTTCACATCGAACCAGGAGAAACACTGAGTAGTGAGTAGTGCTCAGGTTGGGTGCTCAGGTTCGCCCTATAGCCTATCAAGTCGGTTGCTACCCTCTTAGCATAGAAGTTCTTACTCATCACTTCCAATAGATATGTCTCGAGGGGTTCCGGTCACGGTGGAATGGCCATCGACATTCGACAGCATATCTCCCGGATCACTCGCACTTGACCTTCGATATCTAAGATGCCTCAGATACGCATCTAAGTCTATCCCTACTCGGTGCAAACCGGCTAAACAACTATTAAAGGAAATAGTTCACTTTCACGAAATTATTTTTTTGCAATGGATTTGTGATTTTTTATGTTCAAAATGATCAGCAAAGAAAATAAAACCTTTTTACAGCAAAAGATTATTTTCTATATTTTTGATATAGGAAGAACTTTTCAGTTTCTGTAAGGCACACGCGATCCAGTATGAAAAGAGCATGGGTCCCGGAAATTCTTCAGAAACTAAGAAATTATCGCGGCCACCGGCATTTGGGCGATCTGCTCGTGCTTTTGTTACTGGAGCGCCTCACTGGAGCGAATTTCTCTAGAGTTCTCGTAGATAATTTCTCTAGTTTCTGAAGAATTTTCGGGACCCATGCTCGTTTCATACTGGATGCGAATATATGCAAGGCACACATCCTCAACGCAAGACACATTTTTCGGGACGAGAAATAGAATATCTTTGCCTAGGGTGATCGTTGGGCTGTAAAAGCTCCTGATTTATGTTCGTCTCAGCCCAAGCTACGGAACTGCTATTCCAGTTCAAAACCCATGTTAAAATGTGAACTATTTCCTTTAACTGGGACGGAAATACGTCACAGCATAACAGTGACAAAAAGGTCAGGGGGTGCGGCTTTATTTAGCGTCAATCGCTTCATTCAATAACGTAAGTCATTTAATTTTCTGGCCAATCAGGCCTCTAAATAGGTAGGGACGATAGGCATGTAGGTCATGTCACTTTTATTGATAACAATCAGTTAGCCCATATACTAATCGGGGAAACTGTGTCCCAATATTGCGTTCTATTTTTAAATACGTTTCCCGTGAAAATGCGTTGCATAAATCGTTGTCGTTACTCATGTCATTATCAGAAGTCCGCCATAGGCAGCTAAAAATCCCCGATACCTATTATCATCAAGTGACCCACCGGAGCAGTGACTATCAGAGGCTGTGAATTGCATTGGTCAGGATTAACCGATATGCGATAGTAATATAAGCTATGATAGGGGCAGACGGCGCAGGGGTACTGTGGCGCAGTGCGTGTGCCGAGTTCTGGCAGATTCCTCTGCTAACTCCAACTGTAAGTACCAGTTTAGCCCAGCTCCGTATCGACGCGAATCATGAATCTTCCCCAGTTGGTTATCTAAGTCCCTATATGTTATATGTACATACCGCAGGGGTGTCATATGGATATCGAGTTATATCGACTTGAATAGGTACGGGTTACGGCTCTGTATAGGGTGGTCGGTCTGATAATGCTACCGAGAATAGCAACTAAATATTGCTGCTCTCAACCCATCTGACCCCTTCAACCTTTTTAACTTTTCATGGTGATGGAACTTAATTGCTCAACAAAATCTGCAATTTGGATGGAGAGGGCTAGTTGAGCAACTTTTTTCTCGAGATCATGTTCATGCATCGGAAGATTAAAACGAAGCAAAGTGTTTCGTCCCATTTCGTTAATTTGCTAAGACTGCTACGTGCGCTCGACCGTAATAACCGTTTCGGTCAATGCCAAATCGGTCGTAAATCGTTATACATTTCCCGCGTATCGTTTGTTTCCCTTTTCTACTATGAAAGCGGTCGCGGCTGTACCTCTTAATTATGGTGTACAGTAAATATCCTTCATCCGGTGAGAATAATGTCTGTTGGACTCTGAGCGGTGGACACCTCTTCAATAGCAATATTCCAGCCGTTCCTAAGCCCGTCAAGTCAGCCGACATCCGTCAGCGTCGTTTTTCGTTTATTTCAGATGAAAGCAAACTCGCTTGACATGGAATCGTTATCGGCACTGGTGCAAGACTGATCAGTTTTTAGCGTCAGTATGCATGCCGGCGCACCATCATCGATAGACATTGGCGTCAGTCCTCACACAGAAACACCGCCATTGGGAGACTCTGATGCCGGTGCCGGTCCCCACAATGACACCCAGTCACGGAGATACTCCGACATCGACCCCCAGACGAACACACCGCCGGACCCTAACGCCGGTCCTTATACGGACACACCGTCATTAGAAGACTCCACCACCACCTCCCACACGGGCATACCGCCATGCAAAGATTGTAACAATAACGCCAGTTCCCACACGCAAACATCATCTCCGGGCAGCGAGGTCACACAGTCAGAGGACCTGCAACATCCGCCAGTGCGGACCACCATTGACCACCTGGACAACGACATGCTGAACGTCTTGCTGAGCTACCTGGAGTGCCGACAGCTGTTCCTCGCGAGGAGAGGTGAGCTTATACGGACCTCGCTAACCGCGTCCAGCTCCAGTTTCAGCTTCTCTTTGTCTCTCTTTGTGGTCTGCTAACACTTGTGTGGCGCTTGTTTTAAAGTAGCTGGCAAGGAAGTCGGAAGTTATCGCGACGGACAGCTTTGACACGATTGTCAACATAGTCACCGGAGCAGTATACGTGCGGAGAGGGTCGTCCAACGGTCCAGTAACTGAACAGACCTTGTTACACGCTGACGACACTATCGCAAGTCGCAACTGGTTCGTGTCGCGAGGTATACACATATGTCGCTCACGCCTCGTAACGTCACTATGCGCGACAAATCCAACTCTGCGTAAGTGCACCGCCATCCACCCCGTGCGTTGGTGCCGACAGTCTGTAAGCGTTGGCGGGCGGCCGTGGATTGCATCGTCGACCACTACCGGCGCGTTTACCGTGACTGCCTGGGGATAGACTCGGCGCCGACGACAGACCTGCACCTGACTCTCCTGGTGGAGAAACACCCGGACATGACGCGGCTCCGGGCGCCCACCCCGCACTCCGGCACCGATCTCCGCATACCAGGTGGGAGAGGTCACTTCTACTCGTCTCGGTAGAGCGGGTATGTCGCCGAAAAGGGATCACGAAATGGAAACTGAACAACATAAGTCGTAACTCGTAACCTCTGTGCTGCACGATAGGACAGATTCGTTCCTTCGGTGTTCTTCAGGATAGAAAAGAACAGTTAACAGAGGACGACGAATGACGCGTCATCGATAACGGGATCGCTTCCTTTGCTGTTCAAAGGCAAAGAGAAGGGCTTCATTTTTACTTGCGTGGAAATATAATTTTACTCCAAGAGTAAATATCGATACCGTCAGACTCACAGCATTCATAATAATCTCTTGATTTGTCGCAAGGTCTTCTTAATTAAGAGTAAGGTGGTGCGGCGGTCGCAGCTAAATTAACGACGCCAAGCCAAGCACCGCTATTACATTGACCGAAGTCTCCCTCTTTCCGTCACCGTTTCAGTCGGCAGATGCTGTCAGCTGGTGTCTGCCGACCTGCGAGGTTTCCGTCACACCCGATCGAGCCTTCTTCAGCTGCTTGTCAGCAATTGCAACACCCTGGAGGCGTTGATCCTGCCGGCCGGACTGGACGGCACTGAGTTGGCGGCGCTGCTGAAGCCACTCTGCTCACTGCGACAGCTGTCCGTCGTCGTGAACGAGAGGGACGAGGGCCGGTGGATGGCGGCTCTGCCGCAGTCGCTACAGCATCTCAACGTCAGGGGTGAGAGCCGCTCAGATATATCATCGTCAGGGGTGAGCACCGCTCAGATATATCGACGTCAGGGGTGAGAACCGCTCAGATATATATCAGCGTTAGGGGTCAGCGCCGCTAAGATATATCTAAGTCAGGGGTGAGAGTCGCTCAGATATATCAATATCAGAGACGAGAGCCGCTCAGATATATCAATATCAGAGACGAGAGCCGCTCAGATATATCAATATCAGGGACACTGCTCCAATATCTCAGCTTTAGTAGGGGTGAGAGCTGCTCAGCTATATCAACGCCTGAGGCGAGAGCCGCTCAGATATATCAACGTCAGGGGTGAGCGCCATTTTTATACCTGACGTGTTGAACGAAAAGTCTGTTGTTCACTAGCGCCTCTCCGACAGGGCCGGAGGTGACGGAGCCGCGCTGGCCGCCGGACTGGTCCCTGCCCCGTCTGATGGTGACCGTTCAGAGGCCTGCCGAGGACATTGTGGGTCACCTGGCTGACCTGGGCCGCGAGGTCCATGTGCTTCAGCTCTACTGTGAGTGGCAGCGACGCGGACAAGTCGCAGCTGAGCGAGCACAGGGCATTGTGATCTTTTATCTCAGCCTCTACGTTGAGTATAGTTTTGGGTGATGTATCAGTGTATTCTGTGTACTCTAACCACGCTGCTCTGCGTGTGTGTCCGCCTTCCACAGGCGGCCCGGACACGTCTGTCGGAGTGGATTCCCTCTGCCGACTCGACGGTCTCCAGTACCTCTCACTGTCCGGTACGTGCGACTTACAGAACTCAGTCCCAGTACCTCTCACTGTCCGGTACGTGCGACTTACAGAACTCAGTCACAGTACCTCTCACTGTCCGGTATGTGCGACTTACAGAGCTCAGTCCCCCAGAGAATTGACTCTGGTCACTGCATTTGTCATCAATGATCGTGCAATGAGCGAATGCTTTATCGAATAAAAAGTAACAAAGTAAACCAGTAAAACGCCTTTTGGGGCGACTAACGGAGCGAGCGAGAGGGGCATCCTTGCACGTGCGAAATTTCGAGGGGCTACCTCCAACTGACTTGTGCACGGCACCCTACTAACCGGTCTCTAGTGATGTGCCAAATTTGAGCACGATCGGCCCAGCCGTTCTCGAGATCTGGACTGTCTACCTACATGCCAACTATCAGCGCAATCGGCCCAGTACTTATCGAGATATTGCAATTGTTACAAAACTGACACCTCTTAGTTTTGCAAGTGGCACGGGCATAAGGGGTCACCCACATGCATCGGGAATAGTCCAATACTTGGTAGAAGGAATGAAGCTACCGTACAAAAATTACCGCGTGTAAATCGGTCAAGTGGTTGCTGAGATATAAGCCTCGCAAAAGCGTCCGCAAGGCCGGCCGCTCATAACTCAGAACTTTCCGTTAATCTACGGAAGAGTACGCTCGCTTCACTCGCCCCGTAATAATTGCCTTATCTTGAAGGAAGTTAGTTATATTGCGCACAAAACTACACTATATTTTAACGTATGTCTGTGCTATTTCCAGATTGTTTCGGCATCCTTCCCCTCGGCCTAAGATGTCTCTCGAGACTCCCGAACCTGGTGCATCTGATCCTGTTCGGCGGCGTCACCGATGCCTTTCTGCACAGTCTGCGCGGCTGCTGCCGTCTGCAGGGGCTGAGACTGGGGGACCGGACGCGACCGGCAGAGACGGCCTTCACGGCGGCAACGGTCAGCCGGTCAGTGAGCCGCCACCCGTGATAGCAGAGGGTGTCCTGTCAGACTACAACGCCGATAGCGACACTCGAGAGAGGGTGTCCTTCAATACGACAATCAACACCGATATCGATACCAAAACTAGGATACATTCAAGGACTATGAATTATTTTACATAGGCGCTTAGGTGCAAGGTCTTAATTTAGCGACGGAAAAATGCTTTTATGTCAAGATACAAATAAATTCAAATGAAATACGAATAAATAAATTATTTCCTAGCTTTTTACTTCCGAGTATCTTGAATAAATTCGATATAAAACTGATTAGAATTCAGTTAACTTATTTTGAGCATGTAACGAAATTGACCAAACACAAACAACCACTGAAAGAAATGTATACCGACTGATTCATGATCTTCATCGAAAGCAGAAATTTCAATTTATCTGGCCGCGGCTGCCCGTGGCTGAGAGTCACGTTCACTCAGCCTGACCTCTGCTGACCGAGGTGCCGGGAGGTGCCTCACGACTGGCTGCTGTGATCGCTCTGTTACAGGGTGGTCGTATCCTGTCGACAGCTGTGTGTGATGTCCCTCCACTCCACGATAGACACAGGCCGTGAGGTGGTGACCACTCTGAAGGAGGCCGACCTGGGACAGTACAGTGACGTTAACATGCCCCGCACCATCCGCATCTGCTTCCCAGGTAAGGAACCATACAACTTATATATGTAACCGATGTCTCATATAGGCATGCCGCCCGGTCACAGAACCAGACAGTTGATTTCGTTTTCATATGCCGAGGATTATGTTTGTGCGATATGCAACCAGTGATACCTGCCCGCTGTCGAACTCGGGCACTTATCAGTCCTTGCCCAACACGAGTTTATCGCACTGCTTTGTCCTTTCGTTCGGACTTCGCGTTTCCATGTCGTTGCCTCGAGACCAAACATGCCTGTTTTGTTCACAGAGGATATCCTAAGTCAGCTGAGGGGCTACTCAACCAGGCGAGTGAAAGTGGACGACTGGCCAGAGTGGTGGCAGTAGAACGAGGAACAGCTGGCCAGACTGGAAGCAGTTGAACGAGGACAACTGGCCAGACTGGTGGCAGTTGAACGAGGACAACTGGCCTGAGTGGTGGCAGTTGAGCGAGGACAGCTGGCCAGAGTGGTGACAGTAGAACGAGGAACTGCAACTGGCAGGACGTCTGGCGACACTGTCCTGCATTGTCCTCTTCCGATGACAGGACAGCAATTTTAGAGGTGACACAGACCAAGGTGAACCGTTTGTACTCAAATGCTTGAAGAAATACATATCATACCCAATTTTGTAATATGTTTTTACGAACATTTTAAAGAAGAAGGCGTTTTTATATACTCGTCGGGATCGTCTTAAAAATAAATATGAAAGACATCTAATAAATGGTCCTGGTCTGGTGTCACTGATTGCGTAACATCGCATGCACCAAGCATTCTATGTAAAGGAAGATTATTTACGTTGTTCCCCACACGTTCACCGTGCAGGCAATATATTTGAGCACAACTCTTATACTTCCAATGTACAATAAAACACAGCTTTGCAGGGCCTCCCGCCTGAGTCGACCATCCTCCCGTCACACTGACCGGGTGTCTCGCCGCTGGGTGATTACTACCGAGGCGGTGAACACTGGGTGACTCACGTCCGTCCGGGTGACCCTATCGGTATCAGTCCTCATATAATATGACGCACCGCTAGGGATCGGCATGTTTCTGGGCGGCTGCAATGCGACCTAGCATACCACTCCGATATCACTAAGCACTTCAGCCGGGCAGATTAGTCATTGGTTTGGGCCCCGACCTGATGACGTCAGAAATACGTCTCCCGCTTTCCGCAACGGAACAAGATGGAGAACTAAACTTTGCTTGCATTAGGTACTCTATGCACATCACTAAAAATGCACTGAAAATAGAGCATTTCATATTTGACAAAAGAAATGGAGGCCGAGCGAGCAAGCAAGTGGATTGCCCAGCTGCCAGTTACCGGGACGAAAATAATAGCAAAATTAATTACATATGTAGTTCCTATCAGATCAACAAATGACCAAAAACTTAACGTAGCATAAGTGAACCTACACCATCTATGATGCAAGACGGATGAAAGTGCGCGGGAGCTGACCTCTGGTCTCCGTCCCCGCGGCGCGGTTCGGGCGTGTGTCTGTCTGTCGGTGCTGGCGCTCCGGTTAGGTGGTGGCTGCGCCGTCCCCGTCGTCGGGTTTGCTCTCCAGTGAGAAGGGCGGTATCCGACAGTCGAACGAGTAGCCGTCCTGGCGGGTCATACGGAACGTCCCCCTGGCGGCGGCATACACGGTGGTCACTACCGGTCACGTACGCGAGGTGAAGTCACTACGGTGTCGTCAAAACGGGGACACATCTGTAGTGAAAGGCGGGTTAACTAAATAATTGTGTCCGAGCTCTTTTAGTCACTTTGGTCTGGAGTATTCAGTGCTTTCAGACGTGCTGATAAAGGAAGACGGAAGTTTTCCCAAAGGTACCGTTTTAAACAAGACAAGCTGGCGTTTTACGCAATCTTTCGAATATGCTCACTGTAAATCAACCAATGCATTGTTGGATGAGTGAGACGCACCACATGTGTCCGGAGGGCGCCTGTAGGCTGACGTGGCTGCTGTACTGGAAGGCGGGCTGGTGTCGCGTCAGTACCGGCTCCTGACCCACCACGCCGCGGCCGCGCACCGTCTCCAGTGTGCCGGACAGAGAGAAGATGCGCCAGTTGCGCTCACGCAGCTGCACCGTCTGCGTGGTCAGGTTCTCCAGGCGGATACAGTAGCGCCACTGGCGGCACCAAACACCGTCAACGTTTGCACGCACGTGCATAAACCCTCCCTTCATTGGCCAGACGATAGTTTATGACGATACTGAAGTAGAATGTCGTATTGTATATGTATTGTCAGCGTCGCTCTTTCGTTAACGTTAAACTGCTGATTTAGTTTCAGACTGTTGTTCTTTTTGTGACTAATACCCAACATCTTCGTTTCTTACTATAAGAAAAAAAAAATGGTTAACATAAAAATATAGTTCTATTGGCCTAACCACCGGAGTATAAGGCCTTTTGGACAAACGCTAGCAATTTACAATCTTACAAACGCGATTCCTGTGAACTAACCCAGTGGACGGCGCTGTTTTCCGCCTCTCGGCAGCCCATGTAGAAGGGTATGACGGTGACGCGCACACCCTCTGTGGTCTCCCGGTGGACGTCAGACAGCTCCAGCCACGGGTGGTTCTTCTCCTGCCAGGCGCGCAGCGTTTCACGGGCGGCGAACGGCGGCTCTGTAAAACAAGTTGTGGAGTTCCGGCTCTTCAGAGTCAACAGCAAAAGTCTACAGAGTAAAGTTAAGGCTTCATCAGATGATTTGACATTATGAAACTTCTCAAGTAAAAGCGGCCATCGTCATTCATTGTCAGAGCCCTAGAATACGATTACCTACAAGCATACGACCGTGAAAAGCCGAGTTAAAACTTCAGAAGTACTTCAGAAGTAGTGCGGCTGTACTGAACGCGGTACACCAGGCCCGCCTCACCTTTGCCGGGCTCGTACTCGAGGAACTTGTCGAACAGCTCGTGGAAGAGCGGCGTCCGCTCGCTGGTCGAGTACGGCAGTACGTCGTCGTGTGCCACGTAGTCCAGGCCCGGGATGGCGTACAGCGAGCGGCTGTTCTCCCGGCTGCCCAGAAACGTCACCGACTCCGTCTGCGCCCGCTGGAAACGAGATCAACACCGCCGAGCTGGGTCAGTACTGTTTCAGAGCTAAACATTGAACAATACTCGTATTGGTTTGACGTGCGATCGCGATTTGACAACGAAGCGTCACGCGTCCAGCGTACGACTTTCTTGGTTTAGTCTATATTTAAATAAAACGGGCGATTTGGAAAACAAACCTGATGTCATGGACGACTACCCGACTACTCGTCGACGACTACGACTACTCGTCGTCCATGCTGATGTTCAGGAACCACATAGGACACGAATGAGTCCTTTGCGGGTCAAACGGTCCACTTACCACAAACGGACAATCTCTAGAGTCGATAAGTGCCTGGTAGTAGGTGTGTGTCTTCCCTCTCACGTCCTTGCCAACAGGGTTGGAGGCTGGCGGGCTCGACTCCGCACTGAAGGAGAGACATGTGTAAATGTTAGTGGCGGAGTGGGTTACGGTATTGAGATGCCATTGTGCTACAGAACAACATCACTTATTTATGACATTGAAATGCATGTTCGATAACATAAGAATCATAATCAAAGAAGGTCGTATCAACAGAATTAATACGCTCTGGTCCATTCTGCCATTCCAAAACAGAGTAAGGGTGTTCCATTCTGAAACAAAACACACGTGAAGCGCACCAGCAAAACCACAAGCAGACTGAGAGGCCGACAGATGACACGCACCTGGGTGGCTTTTGGGGGTCGGCATCTTCTGGTTTGCTGTTGCAGTCTCTATCGTAGACGCGTGCTTGCCAGGGGAAGAGAATGACGCCGCGGTAGCCGAAGATACGGTGCAGGAAGAGCTGGCCAGTGTCGTACTGACAATGCGATTTGGGGGTCTCCAGTTTCCCGACCTCCGCCAGCCTGCAGAACGCTGTAATTAGTAGGTACACTAGCTCCGCACTTAGGCGCGTTTACTGCAAAGCCATATTTTACCCACACAGTCCATTAGCGAATTTTCAACAAAACTGCTGATAAATGGCTGTCCCAAGAGAACAATCCCAGTCTCTACTGCTCTGGCACACAGTCCAAGGTCTCCACCCTAACCCAAGGTAGCTCTGCAATGGCCTTTAGCCTTTTAACCCGCGCACCGACGGGGGTCTGCGCCAACTTCGTACCGACGGGGGGGGGGGGGCGGATGACCGCCCCCCCCCCCCGAGATCTCGAGAACGAAGCAAGATAGCGACAAGCAATAAACGGCATCGGATACGCACGGACAAGGTCTACAATTTTTACTAAGGTCATTTTCAGGTCAGGTCAAAGATGACGTCACAGGGGTCAAAAAAGTCAAAATGGCGGCGCTATATATGGAGCGAGTTTTTTTCGAATAACTTTCGAACTAGTCAAGATAGGAACAAACTAAGGGCGCCATCGTGATCCTCTCGTCAATCCGCATCGAATGATATATATGTTGACCTCGAAAGGTCAAGGTCAAAGGTTGACCTCAGGTCACGTGACCTCGAGGTCATCATGTATATCATTCGATGCGTCTTGACGAGCTGAACACAATGAGACCATCCGCGCGGCTGTATCTTGTTCCTGTACGGAGTTATTGGCAAAAAACCGCTGGTGACCTTTGATGACGTCACATGACCTTACAGCTGCCCAACAGCAAAACAGACCTCAAGGTAGTGAAGGTTGATCGTATATGAAGTCATGTATGGTATATGGTGCCATTCCGACCCGTTTTAGTGGTAAAAACAGGGAGTTGATTTTTCCCCCATTGACTTATAATGGGGAGGTCGAGAAATTGACCTGACCTTAGGTCACCGATATCAAAATTCCGAGATATACAAATTGTAGCTACTAATGACCTCATAACATCCTGCGACTTTCAAAGGCCTCCGACATCTACTGTAGCTCTGGCACGGTGACAAAGTTGCAAAAAAGTGACTTGAGGTTGGGTCATTCAAAGTGACCTGGGGACCTGAACTTCAAAGTTAGGAGGTTCAAACTTGCACACCATGTGTAAAATTGATGGGAGAATAGTCGTACCAAATTTCGCGGCGCTACGCCCCGCGGTGTAGCGCCGCGGTGACCTTGCTCCCAATAAAACAAGCAAAACAAACAAATCGAAAGAGGCATCCAGAGTGATGAATTACACAGATCTACAACACATACCTTGTGAAACTGGCAGAAGGCTGCAAATGCATTATCCATTGCTGTGATTTCTTTCTTAACGTTGGAAACCAGACGCGAAACATTTTCTCAGTTTGATGGAACAGTTACAGCAGAGTTGATCTGAAATAAATAAAGAACATCAGCAAAACCATGTAATTTTGCATGATGGCCCTGGTGGCACAGCTCATAAGCATCGTCCTGGTCCTGCATGTCAGGAGGCTTCGGTTTGATTCCTGAATCCAGGATCCGCCCAGGCCACGGGCATCTTCCTGAGCCGCATCACCGGGAGAGGAATGGGGTGGGCTCAACCACACTGGGATGAATCCTGCTTAGGATACAGCTCTGCTGACCAATGAGGTCAATGAGCAACAACTATACCAAAATTGCAATTCCAATCATCAAGGCAGCCAGCAAGCTGAGTCGAATGTTGACCTTGATGACTATGATGATGAAATAAATAGAACTTGAAACAGAGAGAATGCCTGATATGGGTTGGTTGCTTCCAATAAGGTGCACACGCTCGAAAATCATTCGATAACAATGAATGACAAACACCTCAAGGCTCAACCTCCAGTCTACGACCAGCCTTGGACGCAACCAAAAGTGCGTCCAAAAAAGGTATATAGGGCCTTGCCAAAAGTCCCAAAAGCGAAGCAATGAAAAACAACCCTGTTCTGTTCTGCGCCCGCCGGATCCTCAGTCCGCACTGACACGACACGCACCGCTCTGCACATATATTGCCGGCTCGGACGGCACGCACACCTTGACGGCTCGCTCGACACTGCCCGCTCTCCGCCGGCGCCGGCCGGCGGCCGCTCGGCGGGCCAAGGCCGGGCCCTTCTCATAACGGGGGATGCGGGCCCGTATCATAACACCTCCCCCCAAGACCTTCGCTCTAACAAAAGCATACCTTGATATGTTAGACGAATGTCTTCAAACAAAAGTAATCTCCGTTAAGCGAAGCATCCATCAAGGAAGACGAGAACTATTGCGCGATACAACGAAATGCAGTTACAGTGACAAAACACATGTCGGGGCATTCGCAGCGTGCACACGCTATCACTCATATGTGTTGGTGTCCCAGCGGACTTGCAGTCGCTGCGGCTCACGACGCTGGCGACCACTTTGACGGGGCTCCGCCGCTTGCGTCGCCGCCGTTCGGCGGGCGGGCGGTTGCTGCAGCGCCTCCCGCCGGGTCGGCGGCGCCCGCGCCGCGCCGGGAACCTCCGGTGGCTGCGGCTCCGCGCCGCCGGCCAACATCGGGCGGTGTGGTCTCAGGAAACGCCTGTTTCTCCAATATATGCGGCCGCTTGGCATCTTTACAAGGTAGGTGCGGCGCTGTCCCACGCCGACGATCACACCTGTACGGTCCCAGCGGCCGTTCTCGGTGTTTTGCACGTCGACGCGGCAGCCGACGCGCAGTCCAGAGAGGGGGCGCGCTGTGGCGTCGTGACGGCGCTGTACGTCGTCTCGGAGGTCGGCCGCCCTCGCGTCGCACGCGTCGGCGGCGCGCTGCCATTCAGGTGCGTATGCTCGGTGATGGGTCGGCACGCCTGACCGCAGCGGATGACCAAACAGCGTCTGGGCTGGGGACCTGCCGTCGGCCCGTGGCGTGTTTCGCAGCTCGAGGAGACCTCGGTCGAGCTGATCGTCGTCCAGCCGTCCGCTCGCCGAGGCAGCCACGATTATTTTCTTCACCGTTTTCACGGCAGCCTCGGCGTGACCGTTGGATCTCGGGTACCGTGGGGATGACATCTCGTGGCGGACTTCCCACCGGTCCAGAAATCGCCGGAGCGTGGAGGAGGCGAACTGCGGTCCGCCGTCTGTCCGCAGTACGGTGGGAACACCCGTCTGAGAAAACAGCCGCCGCAGCTGCTTCACCAGGTGGTCCGCCGAGGCCGTCCTGGGGCAGACCGTTACATACGGCCAGCCTGACAGTCTGTCCACGTACACGAGGTAGGTCCGGCCGGCGACATAAAAATAATCTGCCGATACCGACTCGAAAACGCGGCTGGGGAGATCGTCTTCCACCCATAAGGGTTCATTGCTGTGACTGGCAGCGAGCTGCCTGCAGCTCTGGCATGCAGAGACGGCGTTGCATATGTCCCGGTCAATCCCCGGCCAATACACGGACAGCCGTGCGCGGCGTTTGGTTTTCTCCATTCCTTGGTGAGAATCATGTAGTCGGTCGAGAACGTTGCGGCGTAGACTGGCCGGAATCACGAGCCTCGCTCCGTAGACGACGAGCCCGTCGTCGACCGCCAGCATTGAGCGGACACCCCAGTAGGGCCGCAGAGCTGGTGCCACTTCGTGTCGGTGGTCGGGAAATCCTGCCAGGATGACGTCACGGAGGGCTCGGTACTCGGGATCGCGGGCGGCTGCCGCTCGAACCGAGTCCAGAGTCCGGTCTTGGAGCGGAGCGACCAGGGCACCGTCCTCGGAGGTCGCGCTCAGAGTAGCGACCACGGCGTCGTGCAGTGCCTCCGTCACCTCCGCGACTTCGTCTCCCGTTGCTGGGTCGGACACTGGAGCGCGTGACAGGGCGTCCGGGATGCAGTGTGAGGCCCCCTTTTGCCATACAGCAGTGAAGCTGTAGATCGACATTTTCTCCCGCATCCGCTGGAGGCGAGGGTTGTCGATCTCTGATAACCTCTTGGAATTGAGGATCGGGACGAGAGGGCGGTGATCCACGACGAGGTCGAACTGTGGAAGTCCTGCCAGAAAGATGTGGCACTTGCGGAGGGCCCACAGGCAGGCCAGGCACTCCAGCTCCACCACCGCGTATCTTGACTCTGTATCTGTAAGGAAGCGGGAGCCGCACTGCACCATCTTCCATGTGTCTCCGTGGCGCTGCTGGAGAACGAAACCCAGACCGCGGGTTCGTGCAGAGTCCGTTTGAAGCTTGGTAGGCAGCTGCGGGTTGAAGAAGGCCAGAACGGGTGGCGACACCAGCGCTCTCTTGACGTCCTTGAATGCCTCTTCATGTTGCTCAGTCCATCTCCAGACGGTGTGCCGCTTGAGCAGGTCTCTGAGGGGCTGAGCTGCACTGGCGATGTCTGCTGAGAAGTCGGCCAACTGATTGGTGAGTCCCAGGAACGATCTGAGATCGGTGAGATTCTCCGGCCGCGGGAACTCAGAGATCGCTTGCAGCTTGCGGTCGTCAACCGTGTAGCCCTGTTCCGAGATGCGGTAGCCGCAGTAGTCCAGCGACGGCCGCGCAAACTGGAATTTGCGCGGGTTGATAGTGATGCCTGTCTCTCGGCAGCGTCTGAGGACCGCGACCACGTGAGAGAGATGGGCGCTGTAGGTCGCGTCGTGCAGCAGCAGATCGTCCACGATTTTCAGCGTTCGCGGTATATCTCCGAGCGCTGCGTCGCCCCGTCTGTTGTATTCGTCACCTGACGAGATGAGACCCATCGGGGCCCTGAGGAACTTCATCCGGCCCCATGGAGTTATGAAACAGGTGAGGTCTTGAGATTCCTCGGCGATCGGGACCTGAAAGTATCCCATAGCGGCATCCAGCGTGGTCAGCCACCGCGCGTCCCCGTCGATAGACGCCACTGCGTCGTGAATCGGTCTCACGGGGTAGGCAGGTCTCTTCACGAATCTGTTGACGGCGGTCATATCCACGACCAGTCTGGCTCCTCCCTGGCGTTTTGCAATTGGCACCATGGGGTGACACCACTCCGTAGGGTAGTTCACCAGGGCCACGATCCCTCTGGTGACCAAGTCGTCGAGCTGGCTCTTTATCTCCTCTCTCCAGCAGTATGGGATGTTTCTGGCAGCAGTGAGAGCTGTGGGGACTGCGTCGTCTGTCAGCTCGATGACCATCGGGCCACCAGCCATCTCGCAGAGCGTCTCGTTGCCGTCGAACACGTCTTTGAATTGTTGTCTCAGGGCCGCCTCATGACCTCTGATGACATCGTCTGACGGGTCGTATTCGTGCTCCCATACAGGCTGGGCACTGGCCGCTGTTTGTTGAGACGACGGCTTCGTGCTGGATCCTGCGGCTCCCGCGCCGCCCGCTGTGGTTCCAGCGCCGCCCGCTGCGGCTCCCGTGCCGCCCGCCGCGGCACCCGTGTCGCCTGCCGGGGCTTCCCTGCCACCCGCCGCAGTTCCCGTGCCGCCCGCCGCCCGGGCCGCGGCCACGTGTTGCAGCGGGTGACCAGTAGGCGGCGCCAGGTGTTCGTCGACAGGTGGCGCCGGCGGACGGTCGGGTGGCTGCAGAGGCCGCGCGCCGATCGACTGTGAGCGGACGTGGCTGCCGCGGCTTTGGTCTGGAACGGACTGACTGCGCCAGATGTTGACAGGGATCTGGGCCGGGAAATTGGCGGGCAGGATCCGCAGACGCACGGAGTCGCACCAGCCGAGCAGGAATCCGGTGACCTCTCGCAACACATACACTGTTGTGGCGGTCTGGCAGTCGCCGAAGGTCACCGTGGCGCTGAATTGGCCGATGCAGGTCAGCGGCGTGCTCCCGGCTGACGAAAACTTGATCTCGCCGCCTACCGACCCCGTCATCTTCGTTACGACACCCAGGGACGCAGCCATGTCAGCGCCCATGACCGTAGCTTCCGCCCCGGTATCAGGCATGCATAACACGGCCGACGATCCCGTCGAATGGACGAGTGTCACCCTGATCCGCGGCGTGCGACGTGCAGTCAGTTGGTCCACGTAGATATCTCCGACAATTTGTCGTACTTCGGGTCGGTCACCGGCCGCGTCCGTGTTTGCTGGCGCCGCGCCAGGACCCGTGCCCCGCCCGCGGCGTAACCTTGACCGGCCCCGGCCGAGCGGCTGGTCGCCGGCCGCGCGGTCACGTGATCTGGCATCCTGCCAGCCACGGCCGCCGCCCCGGGGACCGCGGTCGGGCGGCTGGTTGGCGCACACCGTTGCGAAGTGACCGGAGCCTCCGCATGCATGGCACGCTGCATCCATCGCGGGGCAGCGCACGCCGTCAGCGTGTCGAGCTCGACCGCAGCGTCGGCAGGGGTCGTCTCGACGCGCATTGTTGGAGCATGGATGGGCACGCGACCGACGGTACGCCGACAATGCTGTCACGTTAGCCGGCTCGCCGAGAATTGCGGCACTGTTCGCGTTCGCCGACTCACACGCACGACAAATGTCCACCGCCCTCTGCAGCGTCAGCTTCGGCTCATGCAGCATACGCTTCAGCGCCTCCTCGTCACGGATGCCGACCACGATCCTGTCACGGTACTGATCGTCCGCACACTTATCACAAAAGTCACAATAAGCGGCGATTTCCTTGATAGACGATACAAAATCGTCAAACGTCTCATCCGGTTCTTGCACTCGTGAGTAGAAGTCTCGTCTGTCGAGGATGATGCTGCGTTGACCTCGCAGATGAGCCTCCATCATGTCGATCACGGTCTTCAGGTCGGCTTCCGAAGGGATCTGGAGGCTATATCGCAGCGTTCGCGTCCACTCGTCGTCGAGCAGTGACATCAGAGCCGCCTTCTGCTCCGCGATAGGCAACGTCTCCAGGTGAGTGAGGAGCCTGAAGTCGTCGAACTTCTGGCGCCACGTGCCGAACTCCTTGAGGGACGCGGAGGAGGTCAGGTGCGGCGTCGAGATAGCGCTCGACGGGAGTTTCGCTGGCGTTGCAGCGGGCTGTCTGCTCTCGGTGACGGCCGTCTCGCTCCGTGCGATCGGCTGTTGCACCTGGTTCGCCAGCGCCCGCTCCAGCATGGCTGCGAGTCGTTCCTCCCGCTGCGCCGCCTGCTCGGCAAGCCGCTCCTCCCGCTGCGCTGCCTGCTCCGACTGCTGGGCCAACAGCGCCGTCAGGCGCTCGAGTTGTGCGTTGTCCGCCATCACTGACGCGAGCGATCCGACACGGCTGCACGTAGTTCAGTATATCTCGGAATCGGTGTCGCACGCTACCGATCACACTACCGACCGCGCCATGTTCTGTTCTGCGCCCGCCGGATCCTCAGTCCGCACTGACACGACACGCACCGCTCTGCACATATATTGCCGGCTCGGACGGCACGCACACCTTGACGGCTCGCTCGACACTGCCCGCTCTCCGCCGGCGCCGGCCGGCGGCCGCTCGGCGGGCCAAGGCCGGGCCCTTCTCATAACGGGGGATGCGGGCCCGTATCATAACAAACCCCAGTCCCCAACCGAATCCGTCCCAACATATGTGGAGCATAAATACTTATTAATTAAAAACGTGGTGACAATACTGAAACGCAGTCAATAATACACAACTATAATAATTACGGTCTTTTTTGCAGCAGACGCGGCATGAATGTACCAAAACAGTCCAACATTGAACACAAAATAATCTTTGAAAGACGTATTTAATTTGTTTGATCACGTTTTACATTTAATATGTATAAAACTGAAAAACAAAGGCATTAAATTGCCTTTATTAGGTATTTTGTGGAAAAAAATGTTGATAACTCAGCTTGAACATAGATTTTGTCCTCTGAAATTGTAATAGACGTCACTTCATTGTGAAAAAAAATTGAGAAATAAACAAAACCTTGAAGATGCAAAATGAAAAAGTGTGAGCGTGCATTTTTATTTATATTGCAGTTATCAAGCAGTTATGTAGGTATGTACATTGCAGTGTACTTATACTTGCAGTTTTGATGTTTCTGAATTAGAGAACCATTTTTCAGTATGTCAAATGAGAAAGGAAAATGAAAAGTGGATAGAGAGGGCAGGAAGAATGCAAATGATCCACTCTGACTTTAAAAAGATGCTGCTTCGCATTTCGGTACCGCAATGTCGATGTGATGTGAATCATGATTGATAAAATGGCTGCCCTTATCACCCCTCTGAAAGGGATTGGGAATGAAATTGTGATTGGAATGCTGTACTTTTTTGTCAAGTGCCTATTAGGTATATCACCCGCACACTCTTTTCAGCAATTTGGATATGCAAACGAAGCAATTAATTTTTTTAATTCAGTAGGGGAGAGTGGGGTAAGATGCCCAGGGTGGGAAAGACGCCCCACCCCCTTTAGCGGCGAAACAAAGAATCGAACCTGGAAATTAATGTTCTTAGCGTAAAGCGGAAGCCTGCCTTGTTAACTGCACAAAAATTTGCGAAGCTCAGTTGGGCAACGGCTGGCTGATGATTGCATGTTTTTTATTTGCTGCTTTCAAAAAATATTTTGGTGTCAAAACATTGTAAATATCAAAGAAGGTAGATAATTTTTGCGTCCCTTGCTATAGTCGTGATACATTAGCATGCGTGTACTGTATCCCAAACAGTTTGTTTCAGGGTGTAGTTTTATGGCTAACAAATTGTACTGATTTAATGTTACTTGGGTACCTTGGGGTAAGATGCCCCCTGTCCTGATGGGGAAAGACGCCCCCCTAAATCCATAGGCTGTCCTTCAAGCAGCCCGTTAAATCATTTATTACATACTTGTGATGAAAGACAAAAGCCGATCTGGGACTATTGAGAGTCCAGTACGGTCGGGTGCTCCCCATGCAGGTCTCTCGGCCCACACAGCGACTTTTTGGGCGGCATCTGACTCTGAGAGCCCTGACGACGGCCTTTGTGGGCCCCATTATTAACTCCAAGGCCCCTCACGACATCCTTTGAGGGCTCCCACGCTGGCCCCACGGGCCGCGCTGGCATGTGAGGTCCCCACGATAGGCTCGAGGGCCCTCAAGCATCATGAAGACCTATAAGAGCCCCAGAGTGGTCTCCGAATGCCACCACGGAGGCTTGTTTGGCCGCGCTGGACTATGATGGCCCTAACGATGACCTCTGAAGCCCCTTACGACTACTTTTGAGCGCCCTTATGATGACGTTTGGTGTCTACTGCAGGCTCGAAGGGACTACTGATTCGTTCAGGCGATTCACGTGCCCATTTATGTCACTTATAGTGCAGGGGGGCATCTTTCCCAACGCCAGGGGGCGTCTTTCCCACCCTGCGGGGTAAGATGCCCCCTTTCACTTCTTCAGGAAAATGCTTAATAGCAAAAAAAAGTTATCATATTTCAGGCACGAAAGTGTGATATTTTTGGAGAAAAATGATGTCGGCTTCCGTTGAAACTCCAAGTTTTTGCTTTCCCATCGTCATTTTCGAATGATATATGACAAAGCAAAACCCTGGGCATCTTTCCCCACTCTCCCCTACGTTTTTTCTGTTCTGCTGGACGCTGGTACCTATTTATTTGAAAAGAATTTCTATTCAAGATAATATGAAGTCAAATGCTGAACAATACCAATGCTACCTTTGTGGAACTCAACTGCTTCATCCATTTAAACATTTGTCTGAAGATCTTTCTTCATGTAATGTCACTTTTGAAGTGAAGCTATGCCAGATTTTAACACAAGACCAGCAAAAAGACAGGGAAACTGATGCAGTCTGCTCATCCTGCTGGTGTCTTGTTGAAGATATTTCAGAACAACAAAACATGTTGCATAAAATGGTTGAGGAGGTGAATGCGAGGTTGACAAGAGCATCAGAACACAGGAGCAAGGACAATGAAGTCACATGCAATGAAGAAGTGCAACACGTATGTGCTTACATATTTTTTTGTTTTACAATATTTCATAGAGCAATGAAAAATTGAAATGTGATAGCAATAGTAGTACAGTGATAGCAGTCTCATCTGCTCATTTGAAGATCACAGTGCTATTGCTAGACATGTGACATTATGTCCACTTAAGGCTATCATTGCCATACCTTTATGGATCTACATTGTCCTCTTACTACCCACAAAAGTCAATTTATAAAGATGTATCTTTGATTCCTCCAACAAATGTTTGTTTGACAGTTGTAACTCAGGGCAATGCTCATGTATCATTTCAGGCTGATTCTGAGGAGCCAGTTACTGCCACATCGCCTGGTCAGCATTCTGCAGCGTCAGATTCATCTGAGGAGGATAACGTGGCTGCTGAGGAGGACGCAGCAGCCGCGGAGGAGGATACGGCCGCGGAGGAGGCGGGGGACGACCCGCCGGCCCCTGGCGCCGTCAGCTGCGCCGACTGTCCGGACCGCCGGTTCTCCAGCGCCGCCTCACTTCGCCGCCATCGACGCAAAAAGCACGAGCGCCACCTGAGCTGTCCGTTCTGCAGTCGACCGGTGCGCGAGTCCTACCTCGAGATGCACATCCTCATCAAACACTCGCGCACCGAGCGCGGCTACCTGTGCACGCTGTGCGACCGACACTACGAGTCGGCCAAGTATCTCAAGGTACACCTACGGACTGTGCACAGCGACGGCAAGCAGTTCCAGTGTACCGAGTGCGGCCGGCTGCTGGCCAACCGCGGCAGTCTCCACGCGCACATGCAGCGACACGCGCGCAGTCTGCAGTGCCCACTGTGTGGCCGCCGGTTCGGGCTGCGCTCACAGCTGGAGACGCACCAAAGACGGCACACGGGCGAGCGGCCCTTCCTTTGCACCCACTGTGGACAGGCGTTCATCTCCGCCGAACGCATGCGCAAACATGCGCACGTGCACGTCGCGCAGCCCACGTGCGACACGTGCGGCGCCGTGTTCTCGAGTCGCGCGAGCCTGGCCGCGCACCAGCGGACGCACAGCGACCAGCGGCCGTTCGCGTGCTCCGCCTGCGAGAAGACGTTCAAGCGTGCCAGCCACCTCAGTGACCACATGGCAAGTGTTCACGGCGAGAGTCGACCGTTCAAATGCGGTCAGTGCGGGCGCGCCTTCACCCTGGAGCCCTACCTGCGCCGACACGAGCGGCTCCACGCCGGAGAGAAGCCGCATAGCTGCTCCGTCTGTGGTAAGAGTTTCGCCAAAAAGTACAACCTGCAGGCGCACATGAAGACTCACGAGGGCAGGCCGGCGGCAGCGGGCGCGGCGGGGTACCCCGCGGGGCCGGCGCCGACCCTGGCGCCGCTGCTGCCGCCGCCGCCCCCTCCGCCTCCGTCTGCGCAGCCGCCGGGGCCTCCGGTACCGCCGCCGCCGCCGGCCGGTCTCGGCCACCCGCCGCCGCCACTGCAGCTGCACACAGGGTACGTGTGGTCCTAGCCAGGAACGGGCGGTGGGCATCGTATGACACTGCCGATGTGAGTACGGTACTGAGTCACGGGGCAGCCTACTTACAGTCTTCGCTGGCTAATTGATGGGGAAGGGAACTGGAGAAGGTCGGCGATATTCGTGACTTAGGTACTTTTTTGCCCATAAATGTCATTGTCAGATATTTCTTCACGACATTGCTAAGTCAGAGAAGCAATGTCAGGTCAAACAGTTTCATAATTTACATCTTGGGGATGCTTACCTGGTTTGGGAAGATCTCTCGGAATGATGTGTATTTACTGCCATTTTGTTATTCATCGCGGTACCTATATGGAAGAAAGTCAGTCTGCTTGCCTGGCTGTAACTAGAGATCAAGTAGCCTACCTACGCGATTCACATAGTCATAGTGCCAGTGGATCGAATTTTGTCAGATCCGAATCATTCTGTTCCCGTGATACACTGTGATATTGCCCTTTTCTACTCACCTCTACACTTTTTTTTAACTGTGCCATAATTCCATAAGGTATCATGTTTAAATACATATAAGCTAAACATTCGCATACGCCGTTTTATTTCTCATTTCACACAATCTGGATCTGTTCAGGAACGAGCACATTTCCTGGCCTGTCTGTACGCAATAGACGGCGCTGAGATCCACTCCCTATCGAAACAGAAACACCCCACACAACGAACAATTGGTAGTGGCACAGTGTGACCTCATGTAAACATCTACCATCGGCACACAAACTTTTAAAACAATATCAGATCACTCATACAGCACATTAGCACACTCGCGAACAACCCTACATGACACATACAAACGTTGACGGCTTTACCACATTTTCTTTCGAGATTTTATCATGAGATCATTTACGTTGATATCTTTGATATGGTTATGTGTTCCATATGACACAACACATGACTGGAGCATCTTCTTGCTACATATGTAGCTTTATGACACCTTTGGTTTGAGTAGATGTTCGGTTTCTGTCGAGTTGGAACCGGAGGAGGTGCCGCCGGACGACGGCTGGGGGCTGGCCCGGGGCGTGTTGTCCAGACTGTACCGCAGCCTCTCTGCAGCAGAAGGGTCAGTTGGCAGCGTCACTGGGAGCCGGCAGGTGATTCTAAAACAGCTTCTGAATCCGTTGAGGTGGTTTAGTTTCAACAGTTGATAAGCTTGTTCCGTTTGAAGAGTTGATAATATCGGATATTTCGTAATAATGCACGCTATGGCTTATACTTACGCTGCTGGGGATTTTAACAAGCAATGCAACCACCAAACAGGCGAATAGCGAGTGCTCATAACTCATAAGGATAATGGGTCTTCAGCTCAAAGTGTAACTACTATTTAATCATCCTGTTCATGCGTTAGGCATGAAAAGTCGTACATCCCTCATGGCCTGTTCTGGTAAGGGCAATTTCTTGTAATCCTGGGTAGGCGTAGCTCACGGGTCACGAGGACACGTCCTACATACTGCGCGTGTGCCTTGATTAATTACCTCTAGCGTTGCTGGTCCGCAGTTGGTCCTTTGACTCGAAGCTGACGCTGAGGGCGGCGGCGGAGAGCTGGTCGAAGGTGCGGTCAGTCGACAGGCGACCGGAGCGCACACTGAGGGCGCTGATGGCCCGCGGGGCCAGAGGGGGCGCCGTGGCCCCACTCAGTCGCCGAGACAGCGCCTGGTCGGCCGATGGGTCTGTCAAACAGAGAATGCCAGTCAGCACATGTAACGTTTCTTCTGTATTTTCACTTTCACACAATACTATGTACACACACATCGGCAGCCCCGCGTCCCCGTCCTCTCGGCTCGCGGCCCGCCAGCCGACTGCCTGCCGCGCCGGCCGCGCCGGCGCGCGCCGACAACTTCCGGGCCGTGCCGCTAGGTGGCAGCAGCTGCCGGCCGCTACAAACCTCTACACCCTTCCCCCCTTGACAGGGAAAATACCTACATCTGTACGTAACGGCAACCCGGGTGACACCACTCAACCGTTCCCCTGCGGCACACTATCACATGAATGACGAACAGATCTACGCCACGGTAAGCACTCGACAAACCAACCTCATACCCTGCTCACCCGCCCCGGCCTCAGCCTCACGCGCAGACCTACAATCGCGCACACATCTACGAATAAATCATAGCGAAAATGGCAGCACGGGTGCCTGGCGCCACGCCCGGCTGAGCGTCACGATGATACGCAAACCAAGTCCGCACTCCGGTGCCCCTCGGGTCAGCGGCGAGCAATCACGATACACAACACAATACAATACAATTTGTGTTCGTCGAACACAAATTCACACCGCGCCGGGGCGAATCTCCAGCGAATTCGCCACAGACCGGGACAGCCAGAGCCTAATATATACACAGTGCCGCCCTTGGGCGTCCGCCCGCTCAGGTAATTAGTCGCATATCACCACGCAGCCGCGCGACACGCCCTCAGGTCCGTGTTACCAAGTGTGCTCGTTGCAGCGGTGGAGCAGCGCCACCACTCCGCTATCCAGCACACATATCCCTCCCGCTCACTGCCGCGGGGCCATCCACGGCGGCAGCCGTGCGGCTATCTTCCGATATCCGGCCGCGGTCAGGTGGATGCCGTCGGACTGGAAGTAGTTCGCGGCCGCGGCCGCTGTCAGGAGGTACTCTGACTCTCTCCCGCGGCGACGACGCTCGGTCAGGCATCGCCCAACACACGTCACCGACACGTTGCCGTTCAACTCCCGGGTCCAGCGTACCATTTTTCTCTCCAGGTCGAACGCAGCCGTGGTTTCCCACTTGGCCGCCCCGCACTCGGCAGTCAACCCATCCCGCGAGGGCCGCGGCGTCGGACCCACCAGAATGACGGGTGCAATGGTGGCCAGTTCTGACACCTGGGCGGTCACTGCCGACCACAGCTCCTGGCTCATTTCTCTGGGTGGTCCATTGCGGGGGTAAACATCGTTACCCCCGAGCCACAGTGCTATGGCTGCCGGGTACACTTCATTGGTATTAGCCCATGCACGAACCACGTCGATCAATGCCCCGCTGCTCAGGCATCCTGCCCAATGCTTGCCGATGTTAGCGGGCGGCACCCATACTGCCACTCGCCAGTTACGGGCATTAGTGGCAAATTCGGCATGCCGCACAATAGAATCGCCGATTATGAGACCGGAGGGCCGCCCCGTATCATCCAACGGTCTCATTGGGTGTTCCAGCGGAGAGGGGATCGGCGACCCGCCATTCCCCCTCGGCGGACCATCGCGGGCCGCGGTCCCGTCGGCGACCTTCCGCCTTGGAGGGCTCTCCGACCCTTCCTGTTCCACCGGAGAGGGGATTGGCGACCCGCCATTCCCCCTCGGCGGACCATCGCGGACCGCGGTCCCGTCGGCAACCTTCCGCCTTGGAGAGCTCTCCGACCCTTCTATTGCCTTCCTCTTGTGCGGCGGCGACGCCGGAGCATCGCCCTGATCTCCTGGGGCCATGTTGAAGGAAAAAAGGATGGTCTCCCACTCGTCCTCCCCCAAGATCTGCTGCAGGATGTCGTCCCCCTCGGCCATGGGATCAGGTTACGAGTACGGATGTTTCCCGCAGGTCTGAAATCAAACGACGCGTTATTGGCGAATATATACAAAATACACCGCGGACATTTAGGCGATACTGCACACCCCTTAGAAAGCGGAACCCGCCTGATATGGTACGACCGGCCGCGACATACGGCCAGCCCGCGTGAAACGCGGAGTGGGTGGGCCGTAGAAAGGAGGCTCGTCTGCTCTCCCCTCCCCCACTCCCCCAGGAGCTCCTGCCGCCGGAGGACGACACTGGAAGAGCAGCAGATGCTGAGGAATTCCACTCCGCTCGTCGTCCGCGAACCGACCTCCGCCCTGCTCATCTGCTGGTCGGGGCGTAGGGGCGGCCTGGCGGACTCTTGTCGCCTCTCTGTCTTGCCCGGTCCTCTCGCCGCCGGTCCGCTGCCGTTTCTCTTTAAACGGCTTCAGGTGGTTGTGGTGAAGCACCCGGGTCTTCCCATCGCTCCCCACAACCCTGTAGACCACCCCGCTGTTCCGCTCGTCGATGTGACCAACAACCGTCCACGGTCCCTTGTAAGGCAGGCCCAGCTTTGGCTTCCCGCCTGCTGAAGCTGTGAAGTCGCGCACCAGGACCTTGTCTCCCACCTGATAGGCATGTGCTCGCCCTTTCTGGTTGTACCTCTTGCAGGCTTCTTGTGACGCGCGTGCAGAGTTGCTCCGTACTCGCTCATATGCGGCGCGAATGACCCGCAGCCGATCTTCCAAGTAGCTCCGCACTGGCACCGCTTCAGGAGGTGGACCGTATGCTGCATCCAGGGGCATCCGGGGTTCAAACCCGTGCACTAGGAAGTACGGTGTGTAGCCCGTGGTGCTGTGCACCGAGGAGTTGTACGCCATCGCATACGCCTTTACTTCCTCGTCCCAGTGCAGCCCCTCTTTGTCGATGTACTTGCTGATCATATCCTTGAGTGTGCGGTTGAACCTCTCAACCATGCCGTCACTCTCGGGGTGGTACGGAGTAGTGCGTGTCTTTTTGATGCCCAGTCTCTCGCACATCGCTTGGAAAAGTCGGGACTCGAATTGGCTGCCTTGGTCGGAGTGGAGCCTTTCCGGGACACCGAAGTCGTGGACCCAGTCAAGGAGGCCCTCCAAGACGGTCTCTGTTTTCTGGTTGGCCATTGGGTAAATCCGAACGTACTTGGAAAAATAATCCATTATGACTAGGGCACACTTATTTCCTCTGAGTGACGTCGGCATCTCAGTGATATCCGCTGCGATTCTTTCGAATGGTTTGGAGGTCAACTCTGTCACCATCGGGGCCCGTTTGGCCGGGGCTGGCCGCTGCCTCCTCTGGCAGAGGGTACAGCCCTCACAGAACGCACGGATCTCTCCGTACATGCCGGGCCAGATAAACCGGCGTCTGACACGGAACGAGGTGCGTTGACGCCCCAAGTGCCCGCTCGTGACGTGGTCGTGTGCCATTGCCATGACATCATGCCGCAGCTTCTTTGGCACAGCCGCCCGAAACGTGTCCCCAGACGTGATTCCGACCACCCCATCGACGACCTTTACTTCGGCCCATCGGGAGTTGAGCACCTGCTTCCACTCTCCCATCTCGGCCGGCTTTGGTTGCTCGCCGCGACTCAACCAACCGCGTATCTTTTGCAGCACGCCGTCGTTTTCCTGTGCGCGACGAATGTCCTGTCCCGTGTCCATTCTGTCTCCGATGGGATCTGCTCCACCCTCGATCGTCTGCTCAACAGCATTGACCGCCCCTGTGCGTGACGCATCCCCGGTGCCACCGTCGGGACTGGGCGGCCCGCCCTCGACCCGACTGATGCCCGAGGAGCCGTCATCACGCGCGGTTCGCCGCATGACTGCTGCAGATCCGTCATCTTGCCTGTCCTCGGCCGGGGTGAGAGCGGCTTTCGCGATCACCATGGTGATGGCCATAACGAGGGCACAGAGCCACGACGCGACGGCCGTGTCAGCGGCTCGGGTGCTGTCCACGCCAGCATCTTCGCTTGAGATGAGGGCAGTTACCGCTGTTGCTGTGTCTGGAAGCGCCTCCTTGAGCCCCGTTGGGCGTCTCGACAGCGCGTCCGCGTTCCCGTGGTCGACTCCCGGTTTCAGGGCCACTTCGAAGTCGAATGTGCTCAATTCCACTGCCCATCTCCCCCGTCTGCCGGTCCCGTCCCTTTCCACTGCGATGGACTGTGGGATGTTTGCGAGGGGTTTGTGGTCTGTCACGATTAGGAATTTAGCACCCACGGTGTACTGTCGGAATCTCCGAATCGCGTGCACTATGGCCCACAGCTCCTTATCATAGGTCGGCCATTTCATTTGGGACTTCGTCAGCGCCTTGCTGTCGTACGCAACGACCCGTTCGGTCTCACCGACCCGCTCTGCCAGTACTGATCCCACAGAGCCATTGCAGGCATCGGTATACAGCACGAATGTCCCTTTGAACGACGGCAGCGACAGTACCGGAGGTGACGCCAGCACACTTTTGAGTTGGTTGAAGGCGTGAGTCATCTCGGCTGTCCAGTCCAATCGCCCCGGAGACAGTGCAGCGCTCCTCAGAGGCCGGCTGACCTCAGCGTAGTTTTCGATAAATTTTGCGTAATAACCGCACAAGCCGAGGAAACTTTTCATTTCATCATCGGTTACTGGGGCCGGCCATGTGAGCACTTTCTCGACGTTCCTTAGGTCGGGACGGATGCCCTCCTCCGACACCTGATGGCCGAGGAATGTCACCTCCTTCTTGGCTAGGTGACACTTGCTTGGCTTCAGCTTGAGGCCTGCACGCCGGATCCGCCCGAAGACCTCCTCCAGTGTATCCAGGTGTTCGCTCTCAGTTCTGTTGAATAGAACGACATCATCCAGGTAAACTAGACACGTTTTCGTATCTAGCCCTGCCAGCACCAGCTCCATTAGGCGCTGAAACGTCGCACTGGCGTTTTTTAGGCCGAACGGCATCACGCGGAACTGTTGCAGACCCCGTCCCGTCGTGAAGGCCGTCTTCTCTCTGTCTTCCGGGCTCATGCCAACCTGCCAATAACCAGCGGCCATATCCAGGGTGGTGAACCATTGCGCACCGGCCATTGAGTCCAACGCGTCATCAACTCGAGGGAGAGGGTATGCCACTCCTTTCGTGACTCCATTCACCGCCCTCATGTCTACACAGAAGCGAAAAGAGCCGTCCTTCTTCCGCACCAGGACGACGGGGGAACACCATGGACTGGTGCTCTCCTCTATCACCCCGTCCCTCAGCATCTGCTCCTTCTGCAGCTCCACTTGGTCTCGTATTGACGTCGGTATCCTGCGGGCCGGCTGCCGGATCGGAGTGGCATCGCCTGTGTCAATCCGATGCTGCACCAAGTGGGTGCGTCCAATGTCTCCTGGGTGCTGACTGAATATGTCCCGGTACTCCGACACCAGGCTTCTTAGCCGGGACTTGCCATCCTCAGACATGTCGGAGCCGTCCACGTCGACTGCTGTGACTGGTGCCGGAACATCATCATCATCGCCTTGGTCGCCGTCGCTGCCCCGCGGCGACCCGCCACCGGTGACAGCGCCGGCGTGAAGACCATCATCCTCACTCAGATCGAATTCGTTGTCACCTCCCGGCAGAATCGTGTACAGCGTCCCGATATCGCTGCCCTTAAGAAATCTGGCCTCGTGGGAACCGACATTAGTCAGCTGTATCGGAACAGTGCCATTACCATCCACAGTCACCACCTCCCTCGGAATCAGGAGGTCCTCCCTCAGCGCCGTGTGACTGGGCTCGATCACTCCCTGCAGCGCACACGGGTTACTCACCTTCCCGTTGACTGGTACCACAGAAGCTCTGACGACGATGACTGACCGCGCCGGCACCACCGTCGTGGCGGCCAACAGAACTCTCGCCCGACTGGGTCGAATGGCGCTGTACGGAGGCAGACGAATTGACATCCCGGCCAGTCTGATCACTCCCGCCTCGTCATCGATAACAGTGCCATGACGGCAGCAAAAATCACGCCCCAGGACCAGCTCGTACATCAGTCCCTTGACCACTGCCGCGCTGGGAGTAGCGAATGTCTTTCCCTGGATTTCGATTGTCAGGTCTTGAACAACCCCCGTGATGTGAAGCGGCTCACCGCCCGCCCCTCGTGCCGTCTGGGATGGCGTCGTTAGCCGACACCCCAGCTCCCGCTGGACATGCTCCTGCAGACCATCGCGAATCATCGTGAAGTCCGCCCCGGAATCCACCAGGGCCCAGACTCGCCGTGTTCCCAACTGCACCTCGACCACCGACGCCGTGATCTGGGACCCTGATGGACGCCGGGCCGATGCTTGTCCCTCAGCACCGGCCGCCATCAGTTTTCCTGACCGGTGTACTGGGGCTCGTGACGGCTGCTTTGGACTGGTCCGGTATGCGACCGCTGGTCCATCGGGACTGGGAGCATGCGGCAGTCCGCCAGCCAATGCCCGTCCCTACCGCAACCGAGACAGAACGGAAGTCTCTGTGGTGTAGCAGACTGCCGAGCCGAGCGCGGGCAGTTACGCACCATGTGCCCAGCCTCACCGCATCCAAAGCAACGGCCTACGTTTTCGGTGGACTGGCGGCCTCTACCTGCGGTTCCCTGCACCGTACACGCGCGCCGCGTGTGACCGATCTGGCCGCAGTTATAACAGCGCAGGTTGACCGGGGTCGCGGCTGTCGTTAGAGCCACCGCTGACTGATCATAGGCGAGCTGACTAGACTGTCTGCCCCCCAGCTGCCCGCCGTGGTGGCCAGACGTGTCGAGCTCGTGCAGCATTTGCTGCATTTCCATCATGCGGCGCTCCAGCGCCCGCACCCGATCCGTCTCCGTCTCATCGCCGCCTCGTCCCGCGGCAGGTAAGTCACCGGCGACTGATACCACTTCCCGACCGCGCGGCAGCGCCGTCACGGGACCCGCGACTGCGCCCTCCTGTGAGTTAGCAGCAGGAGCCGCCACTGCAACGGCGCCAGCCGCCGCCGCAGCCGATTGCCGGACTGCCAGCATCGCATCGTGACGTGTCTGCAGCTCTCGGGCTGCAGAAATTGCAGCTGACAGCGTTTTCAGATTTTTGCTGCACAGCTGACTCTGAAGCTGCTCGTTACGCAGTCCGCACAGAAAACGGCTCGTCAAATGGAACTCGACCGGGGCGTCTCCCACGCCCTCGTCTGGATACGCGGCGCGTCCCAGATGACGGATACGATCGGCAAAATCGGCTACTGTCTCCCCAGGTGTCTGCATCGCGCGTGCCAGTTCCGCCTGTGCCTGCAGTGGACCAACCTCAGAGCCGTAACGCACACTCAGCGCCTCGACAACCTGTGCATAATCGGCCTGGGCAGCCGCCGACAACGACGCATATAGGTCCAGAGCCCCATCTTCCAGCAGGGCCGGCAAACACTGCAGACGTTCCGCGGCAGACCAGGTAACAGTTTGTGCCTCGAAACGGTTCAGCCAGCGGCGCCATTCCTGCCCATTTGCACCGGTAAAGGGTTTAGCCTTTGACATAAAAATCAACCTGGGATCCATTTCTCCCTCAAACTGACAAAAACCGACCGTAATATTTACACTACACGATATCCTATTCCGCCGAAAACATCGATCAAAATGCCGGTCGCAGCTACCTTACCGTGATTCTGGCTCACCAGCTCCGGTTTTTCGGTCGTGGCGTCCTACCGACCGCGCCAATTTGTAACGTTTCTTCTGTATTTTCACTTTCACACAATACTATGTACACACACATCGGCAGCCCCGCGTCCCCGTCCTCTCGGCTCGCGGCCCGCCAGCCGACTGCCTGCCGCGCCGGCCGCGCCGGCGCGCGCCGACAACTTCCGGGCCGTGCCGCTAGGTGGCAGCAGCTGCCGGCCGCTACAAACCTCTACACACAGAACATTAGTAGGTAGTTACAGTCTACCAAATGGGGTGCTAGTACGGGGTCTGTCAAGGGCTACCGTTGTCAAGTTATCTGAATAGATAATGATAATATCCCTGTCGGTTGGTAAACGGAACGGACACCAGGATAACAAACTGATGCTATTGTCAGTTGTTTGTGGAGGGGGCACGGGTGTCCAATGACAGACAGACGTAATAGGCTATGGTGCCGGGACTCTGGGAGTCAATTGACCATGGGTCTGTTGAGAGACAATACCGACGCGCTAGCTTGTAAAACAAGATACTGGTGCCCCAGATGTGTGGATAACAAACTCGGGCAAGGCGGCTCGGGAGTCCATTACCTAGCTGAGACCGGAGACCCCGACACTTAGCAGCTAATTTGGGGGTGGTTTATGGTCTATGGGGGACAGTTGCTGATGTGCCCCGCGTTCATGAGCCAAGGATGATACCAACTGATGTGCTGAAGGCTTTGTACGGTTTGCGACGTGTTTTAATTTTTCTAAAAGCATTGGGTTCCACCCGCCCCAGTGTCGTGCTCCTGAGCTGGGCTGTCGCGTGTTCGAGTCGGAAACAGTGGCACTTAGCCGCCCATTGCTACCGGCACGGTCAGCCACGATACAAGGTGGCAGTTGAGTTTGATGAATTGTAATCGCCATGCACTTACTACGTCAGCAGTTGGCCAAAAATCAGCCATTAGCTGCACACCGAAAGCCAAACCTCTCGCGGACATTGTTCGCGGTATTTATATTGTATATTGAACCTGAAGGCCCACTGCACAGTGCTGCATATATATATATATATATATATATATATATATATATATATATATATATATATATATATATATATATATATATATATATATATATATATATATATATATATATATATATATATATATATATGTGTGTGTGTGTGTGTGTGTGTATACATACATTTCCCTTTGAGATTTTCGGGTTGTTCCCGGTCCACCTGTTAGGTGAGATGGGCGGTATGCTGTTCCTCCTAGTGGACCAGCAGCCTTGCCATCTGCGGCGACCCACCTCTCCTGACGGGGAGTGCCTGCTGCGTCTTCAGTATGTACTGGAGGTTACGGTCCATGACGTCCTCTCGCTGCCGCGTCTTCAGGGGACGCAGCTGAGACGTCGGTATCACCTGGAACAGGCGATAGTTGGTATGGAAACCGGTCTAGGAACGTCTCACAAAACGCTCGAAAGACTGGGCAATGACGGCGTGGTTGTTGGAAATCGTCACTGTTTTGAGCTGATAAAAAAATCCAAGCAAAAAGTCGTCAGTTGGGTATTAGAGCGAAAAATGGCGCTCCTCAGTAACTAGCAGTTATCCTAGCGGAGACATCAGCAAATGATCCCACGATATCGACGTTATCGAGTCATCGACGTCGCCTCATGACCATTAGCGTACTGCGTGTCCGGCAGAGCTCCGTCGGGAATATCGGCCTTTTGTGCCGCCGCGCGGCGCAGTGGGCATCATTAGCCCGCTTTACAGCTGCGCACCGGATCCTCCGCGGCGCCAGGGGCCGGAGGCAATCTGTCACGGCGGCCACCCCCCCCTCTCGCTCCAGTGAGGGGAAGGGAGGGGGGTCTCTCCGGCCGCGGTGCCGGTCGGTGATGTCGCACTGCCGCCGCTGACGCGCACAGCGGGCACTAAAGCGGCGCCCATCGGGCCCGAGTGCGGTAAAGTGCCGCCGAGCGGCCCCACGCGCCGGGTATCGACCAGGGCTCGACCCGCTCTGTTGCCTCAGGAAGTGGGGCGAATGAATCACTGGTCCGTGCCTCCCTGGGGCGTGCTTGGAACAGTTTTTGGATAGTTGACTGGATGCTGAGCTAGTCTATGATTTGCGAGCAGTAATCGCGCTGAATAGAAACAGCGTTCTTTGAAGCTGGGTCAAGCTATAATTTAGCATTAAAAATGAAACTAATTAAACGACACATAGGCACGCAACTCAAAGTTTTAATCATGCCACTATTTTCAACTTCCAAATCCATTATTTCGCCAGAGCAGCGCGACAACACGAGCAAAGTAACACGCACTGGCAGGGTCACGCACGAAACTTGAGTATAGGTTGGTACAGTAACTCACCACAATTTTGGCCTTCTCGTGTATCTCGAAGAAGGGCGACGTGCGCCTCCTGCTGCGGCTGGGCGGCGGGCTCCGCACCAGTCGGGAGTGGAGCTGGGCGTCTGACAGCGGGTCGCCAGCGCCCGCCGAGCTCTGCCGCACAGGCCGTGTTAGATCCCCGGGGTATTGGATATGACGTGTCACACGTAAACGATGATGGATCGACGGCAGGTATTGGCTGTTACTGGCTTCCATGGCAGCATCCTCAACTGACTTCAGCACCTCATTTACCGTACTTTTTTTACAAACAGTCCCTCTAATCTCGACATTATACGGTTGAGTCTTATACCCGCCGATTTGGGGGCTAACCCTAGGTCTTACCGTCCGCCGGCGGGGAGGCTCGTGCTCTCCCGGCCCCCGGTCGTCCAGACAGTCCTCTGATAGGCGCCGCAGGAACGGGTTGTCCTCCCGGGAGGCCCGCAGCCGATCTCCATCCTGACATACAGTGAGACATACATGTGTGACGCACAGGGTCGTAAACTTGAAGCTTGAAATTTATTTATTCACAACGAGTCACTCATTATTGTAACGCAAAGCCTTGCGTGTCTTGCGTGCTTATGTTCATTTTGTGCAGTGCGTTCGTGACGAAAGTCATGATATATGTCACACTGACACTATGGGCAGCGCAATGCGAGCTTGTATAAGCGAGCTATTCATTTCTGCTCAGATACTCACCGGGTCGTATTCAGAGTCCGACTCATTTATCGTATCATGCGGTGATTTGGCATCAGGAGATGGTGGTTCTGTAAAGAAAAACAATTGTTTCTGTTAGTTTGCAATCCGAATTATCTGATAAGCACAATGTGTGATGTCTCAATACATGTGTGAGGTCTCTATATAACATCTACCTATTTCCACCTTGATCGTTCTCACCTGATCTCAGCGTTACGGAACCCCGCGCCGCGCTGCCCCGCCCGTCCGGCCAGCTTTCGGGCCATGCGGGACAGTCTACCTTCAGGCGCACACTACCAGCGCCATCTATCGACTGGGTCGTAAGCCGGCTGAAGTCATGCGTTACAGCATCTTTCAGGCGCTCGTCTCTCCTGCCATCTAGCGGTGGGGTCTAAAGAGGCGTAAGCGCACGGATTCTTGCGATCTCCTGATGCTGGCCGGTGGAAATTTAGCGCCGTTGGCCGTTGATGAGTTCAATTGAATGGTAAAGGGTCCAGGCCTTTATGCGGCATGAATCTTGCGTATGCGGCACATGCATTGTGCGTGACTATTGATCGAGAGTTGAAATGTGATGCAATAGTGAACGTATTTATGATTGTTTTTAAACGTTCATCGTAACTCATCACCCGAACGAACGGCAATAGAATTTAAAAGGGTGAAACGAGCAAGTGCTGGCCTATTGTTTCGCCGATTTAGAGCAAAGGCATTGTCATTTTTGTGAAAAGATAAATAAGTTGTTATATAATAAATATGAAACGGACGGAAATTAGAAATTTTTCATAAGAATTTCTGTACAGAAAGTTGTTTATGCGACCTAAAAATGTTATGTTGATCATACATAAAAATATAAACGTATCGCACCCGGCATGTGCCTGTATTGATACACGTTGCGTGACGAGGAAATGGTCCTCTTGTCGCGAGACATGCATCACGTTAATTATGTACGAATGGTGGCATGTTGACGTGCAAGTGTCTGGTAATCGAGACTATCATGGAATAACACACAAATGAGGGAACTCGGTGCCTCTGCCTAATCCCCCACTGCAGACTACTGAGGCTAGAACGTAAGTGAGGTCAACACAGTCAACAGGCCAACACAGAGCGTCGTCCCTGCATAGGTCCATCGGTGTGTTTGAGCTAGCAGGTCTGTCCGACTGACTTGCCTGGCTCATGGCTGTGTCCGAGTCAGTCGGGCCAGTGCGACACAGATGTGCCCCGTCCGTCCGTCCGATTCAGCTTTCCGAACTATCCTGTCTGTCTGTCCGATCTGTCTTTTCAAGTCATCTGTCCGGTCAGTCTTTGCGACTCAGCAGTCTGTCTCAGCTGTCCCGTTTGTCGGACTCAGATGACCGGTCTGTCTGTGGGACTCACCGTCTCCGGCGGTGTGCACCAGCCGCACGGGGTCGGCGTCGGCCCTCATCCTCCGGAACAGTGACAGGAAGCGCGACGGGCCGCCTCCGCCGCCCTGGTCGCCGCGACGGACGGGCATCTCACGGCGCGGAGAAACGGAACTACGAGTCCTGTGGTCAGTCCTTCACCGATCCCGGCCGTTACATCCCAGCGGAGCCGCTGTATTTCTTAACTTTACCGACTGTGGACAGAAATAACACTGATCAGGCAACACTGTGGCAACTGCTCGCCCAAGGCGATCTTCGCTGACAGGCTGATCGAACACGAACGGATCCAGCCAGTCAGCTGTTGTGCTGTGACGGTCAATACAGTTTACCGAGAACGTCTTCGGTAGCTCGTCACGGTGAAACGTTCGGCGGTCGATAGGTACCCAGTGTCAATAATAGTCGTTCGAGTGGGGCGCGGAACACTGTTCGTGTGCGGTGTGCTCCTTTGGGATCGGATGGAGGCTTCGACACTGGTTTTGATTGCAATGCTATTTCGTTAACCTGTTTTAATTGTCGTAGCCGTACTTTCGCACACGCACTTTATTCGTGATCGAAGTCTTGCGGTTGCACGAAGACCATCGGCTCTTATGTATCGGCTTATATGTAACTATTCGGCCCTTCGGCCTTACTTGAGCTACCATTTCAGTATAAAGATTAAAGGCTATACAAAAATTCACAATTATTTAATAGGTAGGGTCAAAGTCGTTATAATCGCTCGAAGCAGCGACAAACTTACTAACCTGTCAAGTCAGAAGCGAAGCACGTCGGTAAAGGCACGTCCCCTCAGCGGTGACGCCGGGCCGGTGACTCACCCGCTCCCCTGCTGCCGGCGGCTCCGCGCTACTCCCCAGCACGCGACTCGACTGGCCGCGCCGCGACAGTGACGGCTACGTCGGCTCCGACGGGGGGAGGGGGCGAGCGTCGAATCGATGGCAGCCGTGCACAGCGGCCGTGCAGCGCCGCCGGCGACGGTCAGTCGGCGGGTCGATCGGCCGCGCCATGGGACGGGTGCTGGAGCCTGAGCACCCCATTACGCCGGCAGCGGGTGGATTACCTCCGCGAAGACAGTGAATTAGTTTCCTTTCAAATGTTTTGCACCGATACCTACCAACCGATGATGTGAAAACAGCAGTAGATAGGTTGGATGAGAGCTTTCGGAATCAACTCAGCCAAGCAAGTTTTCTATGCTAGCCGACACCGACACAGCCTGCGGGGAATGCATGATTTGACGCCTGTTTAGAATAATTTTGGCGTTTTCCCACTCATTCAGTCCCGGCCTTCTAGATTCACTGGATTCGCCCACGCTGCTGACGCCCGTGCCGAGCGAACAGCGTAGGGGAGAGCGGGGAGAGTTGTATCATGTCCAAGTTGTATCAGGGCGAATTGTGCCAAACTTATCCCATAGATAGAGCTCGTGACACGACCAGCCGACGAGGTTTTCCGGGCGCAATCTTTCCCTGTTCTGTCGTGTGGCTGGGTGGATTCGTCTCGAGGTGAGAGCCGATTTTATGTTTTTTTAATGTCATTCTAAAAAAATAAGTTGCAAGAAAATGTGTGTTTTGGGCATTTAGATGTGCACGAATTTGAAAGATCTCCGTAGCGGTGGTGAGGGTGGGTTCTAAGGCTGCGTGAGTGAAAATGGATTTCTCCAGCTGTCCGCTATTTTTTAGCACGAGGATGTTTTTTCCAAGATGGCGGCGAGGTACATGTTGTATCAGAGCCGGGTGGGGTATGTTGTAACATGTATGTATGTATGCATGTATGGGTATGTTGCTTTTGATCGCGAAAGCTAAGCCCTGGCTCGCGTTTGTAGATAGCTAGTCAATACTCGTTCCATTTCGGCACAATGTGTTGGCTTCTTTGCTCTTAACGGGCCACTTTTGCGTCTAGTCTGTTAATGTTTCGTTCGTTTGACGTTCCGATGTTCCGTTCGGATTGCATTGACCTAAGTTTGGCCTAATAAAAGTAAAACCTTTGAGCATATACATTGTATTAACCCCATTTAATGTTGTTGTTATGTTCAAAGCCAGTAGAAAGCACACACCCTGAAACGTGAAATAGTGATACAAATTACCCCACCATGTGATACAACTCACCCAAGTAATGGGGCAAGTTGTATCAAAAACATTGCTCTATTCGGCAGACTGTAGAAGAAAAACTGGTAGAGGTAACGGAAAAGTTACTTGGCACGAAAAAGCAGAAGAATCAAGGAAGGAGATAGTATGGAAATAATGAGTTTATCACAGATAGTTACTAGGTTATGGCCTATGGGTCTCGGAGTAAAAACTGATACAACCCACCCCACTCTCCCCTATCCTAGCCCGGGAGAAGTTCATCGTAAAAAATGCCCAAATCCAGTGAACTGAGCAGTCTGCTCACTGGTTGCTGCGTTACCAAGGATTGACTCAAGGCCCTTGGGTTGACCCATCAACTCGAATCCCATCAAGGCCAATGGTCATATAAGGCGTGAATGACGGCATCGCCAACGATTTAGGCACTGCCCGACGAACGACTGCTGTTTATTGGAAAACAAATGATTGTACATGCGGTTTGAGTACTGCACATTACAGTAAAAAATCAAAGATAGCTATTGATTAAGGTATCATGGTGCGAAAACGCACAATAACAACACAGAACATATTTCAAGCTTGCGACGCATATATAGAATAGCGTATAATGTAATTTAGTAGCTAATTGCTTTTGACAAAACATCTCGATGCTTCTCCTTGATTTAGACAGATATAGCGCAGTTAGGGCGTTGGTGGCTGATAAGCGCGTGCCGGCGGCCGCATTGTTCTTTATGCGTTGGGCTGGGTCTCGTGACTCGTTCAACGTTGTCCACGCCCTGGTTTTGAGAAAAATTAGTTACTGATACGAGTCATACAGTTATCAAAGGCTACACAACAATCTAATAATGTCAGGGTCCCTGGCATTTGATGAATATGGGCGGCCTTTTATCATTGTAAAGGACCAGGAGAGGCAAAAGCGCATTACCGGGACCGATGCAATCAAGGTAAGCTTTTTCTGATTTTCCCTTTTTATTGAGAAGTTCCTTGTCCATGAAATTTGTTTTGATGAATGGACAAAGTACAAAATGACCAGTCTGTCATGCACCATCCTTGAATTAAGATTCAGTTATATGCACGTAGGTGAGGTCAGCTCATCAGCTGTATCAAAATAAATGCCAAATTCATGTCTTTTTCCATAATTGTTCAAGTTAACATGGTTTCAAGTTTCAACCATGATTTATGTTTCTGCCTTTATTGTGGGCAGCAGGGTTTCACTGTCAGAGGCTGTACCAGTGATACTTGATAGCTGTTTGGCCCTGCGAACGGTCAAAAGCTTGCCCCGCCCCGCCGGGTGCTACCCTTACTAGCGCCTAGCTGAGGCTGGGCCTGGTACAGCCTTTTGACAGCTCAGAGTGGCCAACTTTCCTTATGCCTGGTAGATGGGTTGAGCAAAGTAGACATAAACAAATGCAAATTCATGCATGATGTGAAAATGACAGAGCAATGAATCTTCCTCTCAGGTATCCTGAACAACTTAAGTACCGACTTGAATCGTTAAACTAACAACTAGGTATGACGTCCGTTTAGTAGGGCGACAGCCGAACGTCCCTTCCGTAACCCATCAGACAGCTGAGAGCACTGGGTCTGCGCATCGATAAGGGTCATTTCATGCTTTTATCCATCGTGACACTGAGTTGTGTGATTGTGCCTTGTTCCCGGCTGTGAGAGACGCGAATTAATATTTGAGAATATTTTTCGCTACATTTTGTTCTTTTGGCATTCAGCTTTCACTGGGAAACGAAAAAACATGCCTATGATTTCAAGAATGTCCTGAACAGCTTGTTGAATGAAAAATTAATACGTTTTTACAACAACTCAATTTTTGAAAAAGGCAAACAATTTCGATAAAAAACACATTTTAGAAATCAGCTCACCTTCAGCTTTCGAATGGTATGTTTCGTTTCTTTTGTGGATGAAATGACTTTCCGACGAACCGTGAGGTAGTATTCCTCAGGTTGATGGTTTTCCAACATAAATGCCACTCTCCCTTTCAGAGTCACATCCTGGCGGCGCGCACCATCGCCAGTACGCTGCGCACCTCGCTGGGCCCCAAGGGGCTCGACAAGCTGATGATGTCACCTGACAGTGATGTCACCATCACCAACGACGGCGCCACCATCCTGAAGATGATGGACGTGGACCACGAGATTGCCAAGTTGATGGTGCAGCTCAGCCAGAGCCAGGATGATGAGATCGGCGATGGCACCACCGGTGTGGTCGGTGAGTTTAGCGGCGCGGGGATGTCCACTGAGATGTGGTATTGTTCGGGTGGAGATATTGCCATTCTTTGCGCAGTTATTTTGCAGGAAGGTTAATTGAATGTGAGTCTGTAGCTGTGCCTTGTGTTCCCAGCACGATGAGGTGTGTGCATGAGATTTTGTGGAGGATTCTTCATCACTGAGTGAAAGATCAGAATAGCTTTTCAAAGCGGGGTTTCTATATAACGCTCTGGAACGTCCCATTGTTGATTTCTCTATCGGGAGTCGGTACAGCGTAAAGCCGAAGTTTTGCGTGTTCGTATAATCCCAGATTGTCAGTCTCATTCACTAACTTCCGACTGCAGCCGTGGAACGCAGAACATCGACGTTAATATATTAATCGAGCGCCGGAGCGCTTCGACGTAAGGCTGTCACCACCGGGAATCTGATGCTTGAACAACTTACAGGAAAGACTGGCTAGTTATGCATATAAAGCTGGTTTTATTTAAGGCCTGGCTACACTATGCGTTTTCTTCGTGCGTTTTTTGCGTGTTTGCATGTTTTGCGTGATATCGTTCTAGAAAAAAGAACGATATTACGTTTTTGTGATGTTTTTCACCTTAATTTTTTAGTTACATAAGAGTTATATTAGCTTTTGTATATAACCAAGGTAAAAATTATATTGTTTATAACTTTTTTCCTAGAACGATATTACGCAAAACACGCAAACCTGCAAAAACGCACGCAGAAAACGCATAGTGTAGCCAGGCCTTTACTTCACTGTAGTCAGCCATTCTTTTCCCTCTGCAGTCTTGTTATTTGTTCATACTCGCGAGCGATCATCGTCCCGTCAGTTCAAGTTACCCCCCCCCCCTCTCCCCAGTGTTGGCCGGCGCGCTGCTCGAGCAGGCCGAGATCCTGCTGGACAAGGGCATCCACCCGATCCGTGTGGCGGACGGGTTCGAGATGGCGGCCCAGTTTGCCAGCCAGCACCTGGAGACGATCGCCGACAGCTTCCCCGTAGACCCGGCCAACACCGAGCCACTCGTCAAGGTGGCCATGACCACGCTAGGATCGAAAATGTGAGCCGATCAGGTGGACGGAGGGGGGGGGGGGAGGATGAGAAGGGAAAGGCAAAGGGCCTGATCCGAGACTGATTAGGGTCTTTCGGCTTAGTAATTAGAGCGTTTCGACGCTACACCACGAGTAACTTGGACGCTAATTTTGCATGATCGACTAGGAATATGTCGTAGCTGTGATAATGTAGGTTTCAGGGGACACCTGCCCTTATGGCTGTGACGCTCCCCTGCACAACCGGCCGATGCCCCGCCCTCCACTGCGCCCTCCCCCACCGGCCACCACTCGTTCCACATGACCGCTAACACCCCGTGTCCGCGGATAGAGCGTGAACCGGTGCCACCGTCAGATGTCCGAAATCGCCTCTCTTCCTCATCCAGCCCCTCCTCTCCTCTCCCCCAATGTGACGCCCCGTGTCTGCCGGTACAGTGTGAACCGGTGCCACCGTCAGATGGCCGAGATTGCCGTCAACGCCGTCATGACGGTGGCCGACCTCAAGTCCAAGGACGTCAACTTCGAGCTCATCAAGGTGGAGGGCAAGGAGGGCGGCAAGCTCGAGGACACGATGCTCGTCAAGGGTGTGGTCGTCGACAAGGACTTCTCGCACCCGCAGATGCCCAAGGTACGGACAGTGATATTTGTGCTTTTTTTTAGTCTAGTGAGGTGAAGTTTGAACACAATAGGAGCTCGTATTCTTATTTTTCGTGTCATTGACTAAACAGGTTTTTAGTTGTTGATAATTGCTTTCACCAGCCATTAGCTTGATAGCTGCTAGCTTTGTCCAATAAGCCTAAAAGTTTATTTTTTAATTATTATGTGCCTTGTGAGCATTTTCTAAACAGAACGTATTTTGTTAAGCAGAATGTGAATCAAACGTCACTTTGTTCGGATCCAAGCAACTAATTGTATCTCATTTTACAGGAACTTAGGGATGTTAAAATTGCCATTCTTACCTGCCCGTTCGAGCCACCCAAGCCCAAGACCAAGCATAAGCTGGACGTCACCTCTGTCGAGGACTACAAGGAGCTCAGGAAGTACGAACACGAAAAGTTCGACGAGATGGTCCGACAGGTACGGTTGCGTATGGCTGCTCAAGTGTACTCACTGCTCGGTGTGTGGTATACGTCGTCCCTTATGCTGGTTCTTTATTTTGTTTTTAATCGTTATTGAATGCACACGAGCTGGATTGATACACGACACGACACTGGAGCGACACGAGCACATTTGATGATCTCCACTGTGCTTCCAGGCACTAGTTTGCTGAGATCGGGGTCATCTTTTTTTTTGGGGGGGGGGGTCTTTTTCCCGATTACGTTATAAAACGAGCGCATATCACATATCACGATAGTTGCTTTATCTTTCGTGCCGATCTCTATCATCCGGTCTCCCCAGCTTTCCCCTGGGTCTGTGACCAACGTCTTGTACATGGCTCAGCAGACTCAGTGCAGTGACTCACGGTTCTGTGCTGACCCCACCGTCCCCCGTTTCTCAGGTGAAGGACGCCGGCGCCACGCTCGCCATCTGCCAGTGGGGATTCGATGACGAGGCGAACCACCTGCTGCTGCAGCGCCAGCTGCCGGCCGTCCGCTGGGTGGGCGGCCCCGAGATCGAGCTGATCGCCATCGCCACCGGCGGCCGCATCGTGCCGCGCTTCCAGGAGCTCTCGGCTGACAAGCTGGGCCGCGCCGGCCTGGTGCGCGAACTGAGCTTCGGCACCACGCGCGACCACATGCTGGTCATCGAGGAGTGCTCCAACAGCCGGGCCGTCACCATCTTCATCCGCGGCGGCAACAAGATGGTCATCGAGGAGGCTAAGCGTTCGCTGCACGACGCGCTCTGCGTGGTGCGCAACCTGGTGCGCGACGACCGGATCGTGTACGGAGGCGGCGCCGCCGAGATCTCGTGCGCGCTGGCCGTGTCGCAGCAGGCGGATCAGGTGGGTGCAGGCGCAGTGGAGTGTGGGGGTGGGGGACGGGGTATTTAACCGAGTGATGGGTGGGTAGAGTGTGTTAATTGGGACATTGCAGAATATGCAGTGGGAGGGAACGTAAACGAAGGCGTTGGTGAAGAACCTTCCCATGAAAACAAAAGTTGAAATATTTGCAGTTGATGTCAGTCCATGACGAAGGAAATGTACTTTTTCTGTCTGGTGAAGCCAGGTCTAGTCTCTACTATGTAGTTGGTCATCAAATCTGCTATGATGTCCGAGCTGCTCTGACATTTCCCGCCGGTCGCTCTCACGACCCCGTTTCGTCGCCAGATTTCGACACTGGAGCAGTACGCGTTCCGCGGGTTCGCCGATGCTTTGGAGGTGATTCCTATGGCGCTGGCCGAGAATTCTGGTCTGTCGGCCATCCACACCCTCACCGAGGTGAAAACGAGGCAGCTCAAGGAGAAAAACCCGGCGCTCGGTATCGACTGTCAGGACAAGGGCACCTGCGGTGAGTAGAGTCGGACGGACGCCCGGGAAGGTGCCGGGTGGTATGTGCTAGGAGGCGAGCTGCGAGATAGGTGTCGCTCTAGACGGGAATGAGTCAAAGAGAACGGGTGTTGTTAACCGGATGTTGTACAAAATGAATGTCGTGGGGAGCAATAGTTTACTGGTTTTACTTCGTGCAAGCAGGGAGATGACGTTGCATCAATCTCACCCAGTGCTAAATATTCCGTGTTATTTGCTGTTTTATGGAATGAATGGTTTAAGGAGGTTAACAGTACCTACCATGAATATATGACTCATAATGAATCCATGAATCCGGCTATGATCTATTTAAGCCATTTACCACATGCCGAGATATCCCTTTAACATTAGCACGTGCATTTGGGAAATGGCTTCGGCCCGCCTCGGCTAATGTTGAAGGTATTTGGGAAACGATTCGGCCCTAGGGCTTTTTGATTTTCCCAGACAAAGTTTTACTGAATATTCTGAGCGGAAGAACCAATTTCAAAGAAGATATTTACGGATAGTTTGTTCACTAACAGCAACAGCAAAAGTAAGTGACTGCGTGTTTACATACTTTTGCTGTCAACGTAATTCAACTAAACAAGGTTATCGTTCCAATGCCAATGTATTTATTGCTGCAGAACATGGTCGGAATAATCATTATTTCTACATAATGCACGCAAAAAACGAACAATTTAAATGCGTGAAGCATCTTAACGTGCCACAATGAAACATTTGATATTGTTCCAGCTGGGATCCAAGACGCGTTTGATTCAGCGTTTCACTCAATTTTTAGTTTTCCTCACGGTTTCCTCACTCCTGCTGGACTCCATATCTTTATTCTAACTTCTGGCGTTTCACCATCTTCATCCTCAGCTTTTTCAAACCCTAAATAAGGGGAAGTAGGAATTTGATCTTTCATCACATGCTCAACGCAGCTTATAATGAAAAACACAAACAAATAATCACGGTGACTATAAATATGAACATAGTATTAATATAATATTAACACAATATTAAGATTAAAGTGTAAAATATCAAATGAATATGATATTAACTGTTGCGCCGGTACGGCATGTGGTAAATCTCTTCCCAACCTTGGGCTGTGAAAATGCAGTTTTATTCACCTCGGTTTTTTGCTACGGACCTCGTGCCTACCGGCACTCGGTCCTCCGCACAAAAACCTCGGTGAATAAAACGCATTTTCCCAGCCCCGGTCGGGAATATATAAACCAACACAAAGACCTGCAGTTCCATACCTCAATTACTTCTAATTGGCTTGGTTTAAATGCACATTCAGATATAATTTCTTACTGACACGGATGTCTGAGCTCCATGGTCCGTTCTTGTCCGTTGTGACCGCCATTCTGGCCATTCGACGTTTCACCTTCGTCTGAATGCATGTGAAAGCGAGCCTACGCTGCAGGCTGCCGATTGCAGAATGCTTGTGGCGACTCTCACTCTCCATAACGACATTGACAAATGACTATTGTGTGGCACGCACTAATTCAACTTTCTCATGTTTCAGATATGAAGGAGCAGAACGTCATCGAGACGCTTCACAGCAAGAAGCAGCAGATCATGCTGGCCACGCAGCTGGTGAAGATGATACTCAAGATCGACGACGTGCGCTCGCCGGCCGAGAGCATGTGAGCCCCGGCGCGCGCCCCTTCCGCGCCGCGCCGCGTCCCACCTCCGTTCCGTTCGCAAGTCATGACGTGATTGTCTTTTGATGCTGTGTAATGTCCACGCGTCTCATTAACACTTCGGTCAATAACCATCGAAGCTAGCTGAATAAATTTATTCACACAATCATAGCGCGTTATCAAATGAATCAAATCAATCATGGCGGACTATCAAACCTAGCACAGCACGGTGACCCCAGCGTCATCTCGACAATCGTTCGTTAGGTGCATGCGACGCGACACGGACACAATCCGGGCGGCTGGGCCGCTAGTTTCTCGACAGATGCCGCCACTTTTCGGTGACCTCCATCTTCCTGCTCGGCTCGTTGTAGTTAGTCACTGTGATGCTCGAGTCCGAAATACCGTCCAGCGCGTCGGCCGCCGACGCCGCGGCCGCGCGGCTGCGAGCCTCGACGAGCACAGCTCTGCGCGGGCCCTGGCGCTCGGCGCAGACCTTGACGCGCGGCCGGCGCTGCGTCTTTGAGGTGACGCACTCGGCGTTCCTCTGCCAGGCCTGCGGCGGTAGCGGCGCCACACACGACAGGTGGCGCGTCTGGGTGGCGCGGCAGGCGGGCGGCGCGCGCGAGCGGGTCCGCCGGCGACAGCCGCGCGCCGCGCCGCCACCCCCTGCGCCGCCGGCCCGCGGGGAGCCGCGCCGGGTCTCGCTCTGCGAGCGGCGGATGCGCGCCGGCGGCAGCGTCGAGTCGCTGCTGTCCACCCGCCGCCGGCAGATGGTGGTCGTCTTGGTGGGCGCGCACTCGGACGGTGTTGGCGTGTCGCCCAGACCGCCGTCCTGGCGACGGAGGGGTGCGCGGATCAGCGATGGAGGGTCAGAGGAGCCCACCCCTCCTTCCGCGTGATTACGATGAAGGGTGGGCGAATTATTCGATAGATGGTCATCGTAATGAATGTCTACTGTTTGATTTATTGCATGAACAGTAGCGAGGAAACAATATGGCGCGAGAAAATGGTCATTATTGTGTCAGCATTAGAGCTGCCGGATTTCGTGGTATTGCAAGTTGCAACTTTAGGTAGGCACGCCATTTTTGAAGAGCACTGTGAATTGTGGAATCTACGTAGCAGCTGCACCGTTTAGGGCGTTAGTAGTACAAAGTATTCGTTGCACGGCTTTAGATGCGGGTTTCTCCGGAAAATTAATTTGTCAGCCTCAAAGGCGGGCCTTGCGCGAGATTTTCGAAGCAAGGTCATCTTTATTGAGCCGGCCACGAGTCAGGGTTTGAACATGTGCTTCCAGACCCGTGCCAGACTCAAATCGAGTCCAGCCCGGTCATAGGGCGTCAATTCGGCACCACTTCAGGTCACGCCGGGTGGTGCGGCTAACGATCAGCTCTCGTTTTCGTGCCCGGACAATGCACGACGGCGGTGACAGAGGGTGCTGGTCATTCACCGCCAAGGTCGACCGAGCACGGGGCGCGTGGCCACTCGGGAAATACAACACGACGACTATGGAGTGACGATGCAGCCAGACCGGGCTCTGCTCTCATTGGTGGTTGAAGTAGCAACACAAAAGGCCTGTGGTGGCATGCATTATTGTGATGCAAGGCCAAAGATTGAACCTTTTATCCTCTGCGTGGTATTGTGATTCTTCGAGGGAAGGCAATGGGCATTTTTTCCAGCAAGCAGATTGAATGAAAACAGTAGCTGATATATGTACATTCTACTGAGGAAGCGGGGCGCTGCTCGCAGCCTGTGACGCTCCCTACCTTCATAACGCTCATGCCACGAAGTACTGCTTGCCGATATTTGGTCTCTGCGAGGTGTTTCTGCTCCATGAGCTGCTGCTCGCGCCGCTTAGCCAGTTCCAGCTCGCACTCCAGCTGGGGGTAGCAAGGTCGTACAGGTCACTGACTTGCCCTTACGAAAGCTAGCAATAATAGAGTTGACAAAAATGAGTGACCCTCTGTCTCTCTACCCAACATTGCCAACGATAGCCTGGGAAGTAGAAACTAGAAAATAGAAGTCAATGCGAATACCATGTTTTAATTGCTGCTTAACGAAAAGGCATCAATAGCTCAGACTGCGAAGGTACCGAAAATGCGACTGATTCATCAAATAACAGCTCGTAATGGGCATATAAAATTGTTTAGTCACTTGACTCTCATTACCTACTCAAAAATCGTGTTCCGTTTTCGGTTTACTAACTGATTGACAGAATTTTCCCGTCATGCCCGACGTCTCAAATAGTCCAAATCATCGTACACCGCCGCGCTGTGTCAATCTGGGGTGTGCCTCTATCAGCCGCTGGCGGGCCGCCGCCCCAGCGGGACGACCTCTCACCTGCTCAATGCGCCGGTACCGCTGCCGCTCGGCCTGCCGCTTACAGCGACACACCTTGCCCGGGCACGGCGGGCCCGTGTGGTACTTTCGGCACTCCTGGGCGCGCGCGTCCCTCTCCAGCGCCTTGGTCAGCTGCGCTGTCAGCTTTCGCTCGTAGACTTTAGTGCCGATCTCCTCAGTTCTCTGTCGGTACGTGGGTGTGACGGTGTGACAAAGAAGATCATTTCGTAAGTGCTGCTGCCGGTGGTGCGGCGAGCGTCCCCGCTGAAGGCAGGGTCGGCTCTTACTTCAGATCAGAAGCGCAAGTCACTATTGGTTATCGACATTCTACACTTCAAAAGCATTACGTCAACCCGCGAATGCACAGCCGCTTCCAGCGTGGAATTGGCGAGAGAGGCCACGCGATAGATATTCCACGCGATTGCTAAAGTTGTATTATTTGTCGGCATTGCGACAGGATGGATCGGCTCAAAAGTCAGGAATTCGAAAGTTTCCTGCGATAAGGAAGAAGTGGTCATTGTAAACTAGGCATTTAGGCAATCTGTAGAAATCTTGAAGGACTTTTGAAGCTGGACCGCTTTGTTTGGCCAGTGAATGGCGCGCTGATGGCGCCCGTTTCGCCGGAGCACTCTGACCCACCGTGTATTCGATGTCGATACAGTCGCTGTCGCCGCCCGCCTGGCCGTCCGGCTCGTCCGGCTGCTCTCCGTTCTTGCCGGCCCGCGCCTGGCGCGCGGCGCGGTGCCACGCGCTAAAGCAGCGCCGCAGCAGGCACCGCAGTCGGCGCTGATACAGGGCCGCTGCCATCTTCTCGACAATCTTGCGGTTCTTTTCGTATGCCATCTGGTAGTACCTGTATAGTAAGGAGTTGGGGCTTATAAGTTATTCTTCCTTCCAAAATGGGGTCGTCTGGTGAAGGTACTGTTGGTGTAATGAATTCTATCGGTGCTACGCTAGCGTGTTAATCCACTCTCATTTATTACAAGGAAGTGTTAGATGGTTGACGAACTCTGACATTGGAGTGATCAACTTGTTTATCCTTTCCGCCAGTGGTTGAGCTGTTTTCCGTCAGATTTTGTTCACATTCCCTCGACTCAGCAACCGCCCAGAATTCCGTCAACTGGCACTATTCATCTGACCTCACCTGGCTACGGTCTGTTGTTCGCGAGCCTCAGACAGGCTCTCGGCGTATTTCAGGGTGTACTTCCTCTCGATCAGACAAAGCACCTCGGCAAACTCCCTGAGCAGCTTCTGTTTGAGCGCTATTAGCTGCTTCTGCAAACAGCCGACGCTATTGTGAACGCCACCGATTCGTCATCATACTGGACCGGACCTATTCTCTAACCGGGCGCTGGGAGATCGGCACTCTTTCGATGCATGCAGTCTGCATGATGAGACGACCCAATAGTCAGAACACCTGCTGTGATCACATCTTGCAGTTTTCGCTGCTGCAGACGACCGTGCAAGCTGCATACTAACTAGGACTTTCGGGTCACGATTCCTATGTACAAAACGTTCTGCAGAGTGCAGGGTATTGTGTCACCCCGTCTGACCGCTGCTCGTCCCTACCGGTGGTTGGGCCGAGCGTGCAAGACATCTCCGATCTGCCCTCTCCCGCTCGCATCCCCACCCAGCTTCTTCATTGCTGCGCCGCCCGGTCACTGACCCGACCCGTCCCGCTCCCTTCCTCTCCGGCTCCCTCTCCCTGTCCTCGTCCCTCTCCGTCCCCCGGCGCGGCGCCTCAGTGTGCAGTGTTATGATACCGGGCCACCGACCCGACCTATTCCTCTCCCTGTCCCCTCCTCATGCTGCCCCACTGTGCAGTGTTGTGATACGGGGCCACTGACCAGACACTCTTGTTTGAGGCCGTCCGACACGGTGGTCAGGTAGGGCACCGTCTCCTTGAAGTCGGGGTCGTCGGCGGTCACTCCGTCGGCCGCCTGACGCACCGCCTCCGCTGCGGCCCCGACACGGCATCCCGGTCAGTCGGCCCCGATCCGTGGCACACACCCATATTGGGCGAGGGAGAAAGCTGGCTCACGGTAATGCAACGACACACCCGTACGGGAAGGGTCACAGCGATATAAAGTACGCGGGGTTACTGTTCCTCGGCCATAAAAGTATCGTAAATTACGTAGAGTCTCGCAGCGTGTCATGGTACGTTCGGCGTGCCGTGCGAGGTTGCGGGCGCTGACCTGAGCATCCGTCGCCGACCTGGTCCAGGTCGACGTCAGCCGAGCTGCTGGAGCCGGCCTGGGGCAGTCGGCCGTCGGCCGCCGCCGGGAACGACCTGCTGCGGGAGAGGGGCGCCGGCGGCGGCGGCTGGCTGCGCCCCGAGGAGGCCACCGCCGCCGGCTGGCCGCCACTCGAGGCCACGCGCGCCGCCGCATTGGCCAGCGCCGCGCGCGGCAGACTGCCGCTGCCGCTGCCACTGCCCCGCTGCAACTGCTTCTGCTGCCGCGGGCTCTGGTGGCCAGAGCAGGAGCCTGCAGCCGGACATACCAAAGTCAGACACAGACTGACTCTTACAATCTGCCGTGGGACTTCTCAGTGTCCTACTTGTGCTGAAACGGGCTCCGTGTCAACAACATATGGCTTTCCTACACATTTGCAAGACGGATATTTGGAGCGCTCTCTCAGGGGACATACAGAGTTTGATAATTTTCCTGACCACTGATACGAAATTCGAGTGAAGCAGACATAGCTCGTTATAAGGCCGTTTCTTCTCTGAGCTGAAATGCTGGTTCTGATCAGGCGCTCGTGATATAGTGCAGCCGTCCTCATTTTCCAGGCTCGCCATGATTGACGGCGTTTTTCGTCTCACTCCGCTCCGCAAGAGAAACTAACGGCTGTTTGAACCGAGGTTGGTAAAAAACAACCCGAACTCATACCTTAATAGCACCATGGGCTCCGCCTGCTGGGTCAGTGCCACAAAAACGGCTGACGACCCGGGCCAGGATGCACGCTTTGGATGGACGGCTCAGTGGGTAACGGAGCGGATGCCGGCATTCGTTTCCCGCTCAGCAATCAAACTGAGTTCTGGTAATCCTCAGCTTTTTAAACTGAGTTCTGGTAATCCTCAGCTTTTTGCATGTACCGTGCCAGTGAGAGGTGTTGGGGATTTTCGACGAGAACGCAAAAACAGTGACAAAACCAGTGGCGACTGGCTGTCTTCGAGAACCGATACCTTACGAGTCACACTGGCTTTGGACACTAGAAACTTCTCGATTCGTGATATGCATCTTCTATTTTGCAGTCTGAAGTCGGTTCATAAATAAAGATTTATTAACCCTTTTTTAAAACTCCATTGTGAGAATTGGATAAACAGCGATACATGATATTTGCGTAGGCTTGACGCCGTTCCGGCGGAAACGGGACACATTTCTCGGATATTGTCAACTTTTAGTAGCACACCTGTCTGCCTCCTCTGACCCGAGTTGTTGGCGAGCCATGATTGCATATTCCTGCATAGCGGCAAATAGATGTAAGAGCACTGGTATGACGAGGTTTTATACCAATAAAAACAAACATTAGATACTGTCAACCGTTATACCTGAAAGCCATTAAATTTTCATTTGAAGCTTTCAAATCTTTTATTTATCACCTTTAGTGGAGTGGGGTATGCGGACTATGATAGGGTTGTGACATGTAAATGAAGGGGATACATTTGAACTCGCATTTGCTGAAGTTAAACTTGGACTTGGCTCACGACGATCGATGCCGATTAGTGCGATAAGACTTACTTTGTAGGTTATTTTACGCCTATATGTCTGGCTTGTGAGTCTCATGAAATAATATGCTGGTGGGATCTTTCATTATGCTACTTGCTAATGCGACAGCCGTATTCTGGATTGATATTTCAAATGCTCATGGTGACTACTATGATAAATGTTTGGCAACAACTAAATGTTTATAATTATAACTAAATGTTTGTATAACATTATGTTATAGTTCATTTAGTTACAACATTTATAACTAAATGTTTGACAACAACAGATACCGTCTGCTTTCTGAAATCGTTGCAAAATGAAAGTGTAACCCATCAGTGCATCAACAGCTTTTGCCGTTCAGAAGGTGCCCTTTTAGCTTCAAGCGGGAAAAGACATCCGTTAACATATCGATACCCATGTCTCTATTAGCCAGCCCTTCCTATAAGTTTATAAGAACCTCATGGAATGTCTCATACCCGACTGGTGAATTCTTTCCGCCAATTCATCGAGGACAGGACAGCCAGTTTTGGATAGTGTTGTCTTCACTCCCTTGGGTCGGCACCACGACGGTAGGCTGCATGGTAATTCATCAGAAGAAGACCCTCCTGGGTTTGCCATCCATGAGCTTGAAGTCTTTTCTGTAAATACCGGAAGGAAAAGCTGCTTACTAAACGTGCATTGATGGTGTTACAATGTAAGCGGTGTGCCTTCAACCATATATAAAAATGAATGGATAACGACATTAAATCGAAATATTTTACAAAAAAAGGTCAAGAAAGGTGAACAGATATGTGAATCTTTGATAGACCGATCTTGTCCTCGTGCTGACCTGATGCAGATATTTGTTATAGAATTGTCAGATATTTAATAACGATACGAAATTTTATGTCGAGGCACTGCACACAAGGTGGACTGGACACAATATAAGATTTATTTTGTGAAGACGCATGTGATCGGCGCCTGAAGCTTTAAACAAAGTAGGATGTTCTTACCTCGACTTTTGATCGATAACCGGCTGAGCTCCTATATCTCCAATGCTTCATTCCCTTTTTAATCCCTTGCAGACCCCAACGCATCCCATAAGTATGTCGTCAAGTATTGATGTGATTTTTTTTAAATGTAATTACTTGGTATAATTCTAAACAATTAAAATAGATCTGTGGTAAACAAGAGCTGTATTGCAATTGTAAATCGTCGCTTCAAAAGGTGTGCCATGTTTATGCAGCTTTGATTTGCAATGGCTGTCTATGGAAAAAGCACGTGATAGACGGGCTGCGGTACTTCATTTCATTTTGGCTCTAAACATGCATGTTGGCATGTGATAGCCTTGGGTATATATATGGCGGTTTTTTAGTGTTTGAAAATATCACGAGCGGAGTGCACTTTCTCGATTCGTCTCTTCCAGGCAAACGTTATTACGGTCAATATAAGCCCCTAAAGCCAACCGTCCTTCACCCAGCCCAAGGCCATCCACTGCAGGCGTCCATTCTATCAGTAGCCCATCTGCAGCATCTTAGCGGTGATCAGATTCTCATTACCCACCCGTCATTACCGGCCGTCCTCAATGCAATAATTCAATTTATACCCTGATAACGGTATACAGATGCTGACGAAGATATGAAGCTAATTGATTTCAAAAGTCCTCAAATTTATTGTGACCAAATGCGAATAAGACATGCTGTAGCATAAGAAAGAACTTTGGAGGTAGCGCTCCGGCTCACCTGTCTGGAAGTGGAGATGGCATGTATGACAGCCCACAGGCAAGCTTCAGTAAAACCGTAATAGTGCCGTAAAACCGGGATAGGCAGCTCCGGTAGGCCTGGTACACGGGGTGTACGTGGCCACTGCTACCGGTGCTTGCCTGCTACCGATGCGAGTGGTTAGTCCTGAAAGTTCACAAGTATGTGGAACATATGAAGCAAGACCGTATGAAATATAATGTTTTCCGTTTTGATATCTATATATCCTGGTTATGTTAGCGTATTTTAGCCGTCCCAAGTCACATAGACGTTGCTCGCTTCATGCTATTGATTAATGTTTTCACGAGATAATAAATAATGATATTATGTATATTAATATAGGATGCAGCTCATCATCCTACACATGGACCCTAGCCCCTAGGAAGACTTCTGACCGGACTTGGTATCGAGGCTGGAGAGCGGACATCGCTCCAACGCTGTGGCCCGCTATGTCCGTGCGCACAGAGCAGGGCTCTCACCTGCACTGAGGTCATCATGTTTATGGAACATAGCGGTACATTCGTTCGGCATGCCCGAGTCCTAAATAATCGAGATGGTTTCAGTCTCGCAGAAGGGACCTTTTTATGTAATTACTCTAACTAGAAGGGGTCGAGGACGCGTAAAGATAAGAAGTGGTAACGCAGCGTCTTGACGCATTTATTCTTAAACATGTGCAATACATTCTAAAATTTTATTACTCGCCACACTTTGGACTATGTGTGCGGTATGTATTGTAAATACATTTTGCTTAACAAGTCACACACAATACACATTTCACACATAAGGATACAGACGATGCATCATTTGTTGGTAGCAGTGATACATCTATTGATAATGGATCACTGCGCTCTACCTACGGGTCAATCGCTCATGTCCTGGATGCATTCCTGAGGTGTTTGTCGTCTGTTCTTCCTGTCCAGCCCAGGGCCATCATACAGAGTCACAGACTTCTGGTTGTTATTCACCCAGCGCCGCGCGGCGTTGACGCGTTTGGAACGGTGTATTACGATGACATATAGCAAACAGAAGGCATTGATTGCAGCACTGTCAAAATATTTTACAGTATAGGTACTAGTATATGCACGAGTATGAATGCTAATGACAGTTTCACACTCTGTGACTCTGATACGTGTTGCATCAACAGCAATCCACAATCAAATCGGTTACACAGATGCATCTAATGCACCCAATACTTATGATAAAATCGGTTGCACTGAGGTAAATATGCGAAACGTTCTTTATGTCAGAATGTTCTGCGCTCGCACTGCTCTCTTCTGTATTGAAAAGCTCCTCTGTTTGGTAAAACTAACCTTACGGAAACGACATTCTCAGCATTTATTCGTTTTAACCTTGGATACCACTGAAATGGCATACCTCATGAGAGAGCTCCAAACAACTTTACATCAAATACGGACTACGACGGTAAACTCAAGACTCGTCCCTAGTTCTTGAAAGTTCATCGACCTTTAGATTAGGATACAGGAGATGAGACAGTTTAGATGGGACAGACGTCATTTAGACTGACGACAGACTTCATCAATACGTGCTCGAATTGCGCGATTGCATTGAAAAAGACGCCGTGCGAAAAGTGTGATGTTAACGACATCGTACCTGCTGTGTCACTCAGTCCGTGTTTTAAACCTCAAGTGTTACCTGACCAGGGGCGGATCCAAGGGGGGGGGGTCACATGGGTCATGGCCCCCCCCTTGAGGCCCGGGGGCCCAAAGACCTGCCAGGGGCACCACCGGCCTATCAGGGGTATCACAGTCCTGACAGGGGCACCACAGGACCGCCAGGGGCACCACAGGCCTAGCAGGGACACCACGGGCCTGGTGCCCCTGGGCCCTGACAGGACTGTAACGCCCCTGACAAGCCTGAAGTGTCCCCGGTAGGCACGTGGTGCCCCTGACAGGCCTGAGGCGCCCCTGCAAGGGCGGTGGTGCCCCTGGCAGGCCTGTGGTGTCCATGGCAGGTCTGTGGTGCCCTTGCTAGGCCTCTGGTGCCCCTGACAGGCTTGTAATGCCCCTGGAAGGACTGTGGTGCCCCTGGGCCCTGACAAGCCTGAGCTGCCCTTGCTAGGCCTGTGGTGCCCCTGGCAGGCCTCTGGTGCCCCTGACAGGCTTGCGGTGCCCTTGGAAGGACTGTGGTGTCCCTGGGCCCTGACAAGCCTGAGGTGTCCCTGACAGGCCCGTGGTGCCCTTGTTAGGCCTGTGGTGCCCCTGGCAGGCCTCTGGTGCCCTTGCTAGGCCGCTGGTGCCCCTGGCAGGCCTCTGGTGCCCTTGCTAGGCCGCTGGTACCCCTGCGCCCGGAGAGGACTGGTGCCCCTGAAAAGTCTGAAGTGCCCCTCGGCAGGCCCGTGGTGCCCCTGACAGGCCCAAGGTGCCCCTGCGAGGCCGGTGGTGCCCCTGGCAGACCTCTGGTGCCCCTGGCAGGTCTGTGGTGCCCCTGGCAGGTCTGTGGCGCCCCTGGCAGACCTGTGTTGACTGGTGCCCCTGCTAGGTCGCTGGTGCCCCTCACAGACCTGTGGTGCCCCTGGGCCTTGACAAGCCTGAGATGCCTGGCTATGACAGGCTCGTGGTGCCCCTGATAGACCAGTGGTGCCCTTGCTAGGTCTGTGGTGCCCCTGGCAGGCCTGTGTTGACTGGTGCCCCTGCTAGGCCGCTGGTGCCCCTCACAGGCCTGCGGTGCCCCTGGAAGGACTGTGGTGCCCCTGCCCCTAGGGGTGCTCATGGGCCCAACAGGTCCGTTGTGCCCCTGACAGGCCTGTCGTGTATACTTGCTAGACCTGTGGTGCCCCTACTTCCTGGCAGGCCTGTGGTGCCCCTGGCGGGCCTGTGGCGCCCCTACAAGGCCGTAGGTGCCCCTGAAAGGTTTGTGGTGTCCCTTAAAGGACTTTGGTGCCCCTGACAAGCCTGAAGTGTCAAGGACAGACCCTTTAGACGCCAGGGTCAAGTTCGTCGGACTGACAACGATTTGCTTACCTGATAACGTTCCTGGTAAGTACTCACTACTCAGCGTCCACAACATATATACACATAGCATCTATGCACATAGCACATTCATATATATGTACTTGCTTACAACTGGTAAATGTGGTTGTGGCTAAGAGTTAAGATACTGACTAAAAATAAAAAAATAAAAAAAAACTGAAAATGGGGGCACCACCAAAATGAAGTGGATGAAATCCGTTGAGTTTTTAATTTTGGGTATAGGTAGGGGCACCACTTCGATTCATGACCCTCCCCTTGGAGTTTTCCTGGATCCGCCCCTGTACCTGACCTGATGCAGACATGTCTGTAGCAGACACAGACATCCCCCCCCCCCCCCCCACATAGGCCTACACACATAGGTACACGAATGTCTCAAGACAGCTACAGCGCGTCTTGCACCGGTCACCGAGCAATTCACACTATTATTAACCACGAAACGCAGTGACGGATATTTACTGCCGGGTAGGGTTCCGGTCGGCGGAATGGCCTGGGGGTGGGAGTGACCGCCATTCGGCTGCAAGCTGCATTCGGGTATCCGCACCGTTACACTCTACGGCCCACCCGATCATATTCTGTGGCCGATGCAGCCGGGTGCAGCTGCTGCCGGCTCAGAGGATGGCGCACTGTGCAGTCTCCGCCGGTGCACAGCTCTCAGGATGGTCTGATGCACCGGGTCAGCTAACTGTAGTGTCCAGTGATGGCCAGTGCCGGCTCAGAGGATGGCCGGCCGACTGCTGGCCGCGCTGCCGACGCTGCGCGCCGGGGACGCTCGCGGCGAGGTGCGGCTCGGCGCGTCGCCGACACTCAGCGTGGTGCGCATATCATAGCCGGGTATCAGGTGCACGCGCATCGGACTCTTGCGCGTCTCTGAGAGCAGCGGTCGCGGCAGGTCGGTGCGCGGCCGCCGTCCGAAGTGCACCGACATCCGGCAGCAGCAGTAGCGCGCCAGGTTGCTGTACGACTCGCGGAAGTCCTCGCTGAACACGGCATACAGCGCCGGGAAGAGGGTGGCGTGCGCCAGCGGCAGCCACTCGACCCACTCGGGCCGGCCGAGCGGCGCCAGCAGCGGGCCCAGCGTGCGCTGCGCCGCCGCCGGCAGCCAGCCCGCGCAGAAACTCAGCCACACGGCCCAGTTGGCGCGCGCCAGCTCCACGTGCCACGGCATGGGCCGCGTGCGCCGGCCGTGGCACGTGCAGCGCCGCAGGTGGCGGGCGCGCCGCCACGTGAGCAGGTACAGAAAGCCTGCAATGGCCGTGGCTGTTCCAATGATGATAGCTAGCAGCAGCGAGTGCGTCTGCGCGTGCGGCCCCGCCCTGGCCAGCAGCACGACACCGAACGTGGCTCCGCCGAGCGCCCAGACCAGCAGCAGGCCGGCGGCCACGCAGCGGCGGCCCACCAGCCGGCCGTGCAGCCGCCGGTGGCAGACGCGCACGTAGCTCTCCACGGCCACCGTGCAGAGGGCGAACAGACTGACGCAGCCGCACAGCTCCACCAGGTGCTCGTGGAGCCGCCGCGCCTGTCGACACACCGCGGTCAGCCACGCCGTCAGTAATCGCCGCAGAGTGGCTGTGTATTTTTAACGGGGCCGTGTTTGTACGGGGTGAAATCAAACGGCGTATCTCTCTTCATCGATGGTGGTATCGGGAACGCCGTCCTATCTTATCCGCAGTCGCCTCATTTCGTCGTGTCCGTCACACAGCTGTTAGCACAATGAAATGCAATAAACCCAACAGCCGGGCTTTGGCCATGGCGCAGCGCATCGAGCGATGACCGCTATATGTAGACCTGAGGCCTCAGACATCTAATCTTCGTATAAGTTCGTATCCCTACCATTTAAAAGATGCACGCACACGTGTCTATCAGCGAAGATAGGTGTTTTCGAGCTAAGAATGCCTTCCGAGAGAGTAAAATACACTATAGTAGGTCGCGGCATAAAAATGCAGATCATGCACTTCACACGCGACCTTCCGAGATTTCGCTGGCTGGGCTGCCAGCGCATCTTCGTGACCTACAGACACCGACCGTTCAATGGGCTCTCACCTTGGCGGAGACGTCAGCGCTGGCCAGCATATGGATGGAGAGGGAGGGCAGGACCAGAAGAGTGACCAGCAGCATCGCCAGCGACAGGTTCACCAGGAAGAAATTGCCTGCCAGACAGTCCGCAGCGAGGCAACACTGTGAGAGTGCGGGGAGAAAGGACCGACTAACAGTGCAAACTTCGTTCTGCCGGCTGGACATTAAAGGAGCAACAAACTAGTCATTACCTAATCTATTTTTGAAACCGAACGTTTACAAACCAGTGAACATTTTACGTTTAAACTGGCTAACTGGATGAATTGAGTTTTTAATCAATCGAAGAACGCGAAGGATTCTTTTTTCCTTATGAAAGCTACGGTGAAAGATCAAAGAAGCTTCCAGTTTCCACCGTTCAGGATGATGATGAAAAGGGGGCTATATCGTGACCTAGCCGTACCGTATGGGGCCGTACCTACCCTTTTTCCGGAGCCGATCGCCGACCACGCAGGCGGACACGGTGTAGACGTGTCCCAGAGTGCCCACGGTGGCCACGGCGCTCAGGCCGACCAGCTGGCCGAGCTTCTGCAGACTCTCCCGGCCCGATCCCGGGTGCACGCCGTACCGGCCGTAGCCGGGGACGCCCTGGTAGCCAGGGTAGCCGTAGCCGCCGGCGCCGAAACCGTACTGCCCCTTGCCGGTGTTCAGTGGCCCGAGCAGGGGGCAGTAGCTGCACAGCGGACCTGTAAACACGAGATGCAATGCAACCGTGAAAGTTTGTAGCGATATAAACGTTGGGGTTTACTCTTTCCGCTTTTTATGGTAGGTACATTACATCATTACCTATATGTTACCTATATGTTTGGCTATGACCGGGGCGGTGCATTTAGCAATATGCTGGTTACATAGCCCGTGGTTGGCGTAAAAATGCTACAGCTAATAGCATAACACATACACCACATAATCTGTAATGTCGATCAAGTACCTAAAATTTTACGTGGATGTTTTGCGCGTCACACTTCATGAGGCCATTCAACGGCTGACGACTATCGTCTCGGCTGCAGACATTGCATTAGATATTCAGGGATATGATAAATGATAACAATTACAGTCAAATGTATATTAACCCTCGCCCATGTTAAACCCATGTTAATACACAAACATTTCGGTAATGTAAATACCTTGGTTACTTTACTGTGTTCGGGACAGAAAGAAGGACGGAACTGATCACCGGCAGTTTGTGTAGTCAGCCAGCCTCGGCTACAGAGCTGATATCGTGGGAGGGCAGTGCTCCCGGCAGCGGCCGGTGACCCGCTTTGTCCAGCGAGGTCACCGGAGATTGTTTACGGAATGTAGCGGTGCCCCGCTACGGACCGGTCCGCGGTTTCCATGGGGTATACCGAGACGGTTCAGGGCGTAATGACCTCTGTATAATGAGGAATACCTACTCACAGTTTGCGCTGAGGCCTACGACCCGGACAATCACGATCATGTTCCGGTACATCTCAAACTAACGGACTATAGGTATCTCGAGCTGTCAGTGTGCAGTTGTGCACATTGATAAATATAGTAGGTATCGCGTATCTAAACAAAACGGTATATTTTGTCTGAAATTTAAATCCATAACAAAGACGGAAATGCAAAATGTGATAATATAGGCAGTAAGTTCACGACGAAAATAATATTTTAAATGCATGCTTCAGGGGACTGCATGTGCAAGGGAATGAGTGTAGCGGGAGGTTATTACGTAAGTACCTGTGCGTAGTTAGCTTGGCTGAATGCTCTAATCAGCAGCGGTTGGCAGTCAGGCCCGGATCTCGTTGGCGCACCACCCGAGGGGGTAGGTCTGCAGCGGGCCAGACTGCGACGTGCCACGGACGCTCGCCGCGCCGACTCCCGCCCCCCCCCCCCTGATCGGACAGTGTCCTTCGTACGGCCATCGGTGGCCGCCCCCCCCCCCTCTGCTCGGACAATGTCCTACGCGGGACAACGCGAACGGGCCCATTCTCAGGAGCCGTGCCAGACTCTCAGAGCCGAGACCGTCAGTCGTGCAGGGAGCGACGATCTGCTGTCGATCGACTGCCGAGGACAATAAGGTCCTGCTGAAATGAGAGGCACAGTGACAGAAAAATAGCCTATCTTATTGCACCCTTCGCGCTCTCTCCGGCTGGGTTGGTCACAGCGGCTGGATTGGAACATAGCGGAACTGCATATGCTTTCTGATTCTCACGTGCCCTGGGGTGGTTAAAACAGCTTTGCATCTGTAAAAGGCCACAGGATTCCAATTACTTTTACCAGTGATATGACGACTACTATGAAGCAATCACGGGTTGCGAAGTGTTGCTAATTCGCAGGCGCATTTCGACTTATTTACCAATGGACTGAGTAAAGCTAGATGACGATATTTTTTGACCCGTTTTGAGAGAAATCGGACGATTCTAACGGACAACAATCGTAAAAGCAACAGCCGTCGTAAATTATAGGTTCGAATAGGTTCGGACGTTGAGCCAACTCTGGGAACGTGCACATATATGGTGTGTAAAGCTGACATTTAATGTTTGCGCGGCTGGCGGCTCACACTCTTCCCATCCCGACGCTGGTCCACCGACTCCAATCACCGATCAAACCTGCAGGTTCCCACCAGTGGCGGCGCCACGAATTTTCGCCAGTGGGGGCAAGCTTGAGACTGACCCGACTGTTGTCTGATAACGCCGATATGCAAAATCCATTAGCACCTTGTTCCTAGATGTTGTCACTCAAAATTATTTTGGTTTCAGGTTTCATGCATAGGCGTATTGAGTTTAACCATTAACCCTCGCCTCGCAGACCCGGAAGGGGGGCGTTTTTCGCCTCCCCCTGGCGAATATTTGCGATACCTCACGAACGCTTAGGGATAGAAAGACGAAACTTGCTGTACCTTATCCCCCATTAATTTGACATCTTTTGAAGCAAAAAATTTGGACCTAACCTCCTTGATAATGTCTCAGGGCCGATTTTTCTAGACTCCTGCACGGCAAACTTCAGCGTCACAGACGTGAACTTCAACCAGCTGCCAAAAATTGAGTTTTAGAGATAAAGACAAATTACGAGCACGGTTGTGTAGCATTTGACAAAGAAAAAAAAACTTAAGTGACTTTGGTGACCTGAGGTCGGAGGTCAGGGCAACGACCCCGAGCTGGGGCTTTAGCTTCTTTTTTCGCAAATAACTTCAACAAAAATGGTCATGGAGCTACGGCAGTGGTACCTTCGCATTAGTCTTGTTGAGACGCGTCGAATGACATATATATTGTTTGGAAAAGGTCAAGTTTTATGTTGACCTCATGTGACCTCGAATGACATTTGGTTGATTTTTTACACATGGAAGGACATTTGTGATGATTTCGTAGCCGCTGATCACGATTCTGGGCCTCTGGCATCCATTTTGCTGTAAGCATTCATTTAGAGCCTCAGTATGGCAAAACATGTCTTAATTATTATGCCTGACTTGAATAGCGAAATAGCCTCTAGCAAGGATACTCTCTTGTGACTTTGACCTTGTAAGTTGTAGCAGCCTTGTATCGTAAGCTAAAGCACAAATAGGGGTCCGCTAAGCTTGAAAACATATCAAAACATCTCGGAATTTAGTATACAAGATATAAGAAAAAGTGCAAAGTTTGTGGTCAATTTTGAGCATGATCGTGACCTTGAATTTGAATGTTATACACATCATCGGAATCTACGGATTCTCTTCTTTTGTTCAACATCCCTTTTAGCCGATTTTATGCACCATGCCGTCCTCTGGAACACGTACTTTGAGACCACTATATAAATGCCGGTTTTTGCCTTTGACCTTCAATTCTGACCTTGAAAACTGACCTGGCGTCAAAAAACTTATGTGCTTTTAAAATCTTCTCATAGATACTTTTCGTTTGGTACCATTTTTGTTTCCGTAGCTGCCTTATTAACGGAGTTAAACAGGGGGGAGGGCTACCCCGGGCTGCGGTGGTTAGGATTACCCCCGGGCCCGGCCGAAATAAAACTATTAAACTAGATTGCGAGACACAAACCTGTGAAAACGTTTCGTTGTTCGTTGAGATGTAAAATGGTGTGTTCCTCAAAACTAGTCAGTACCTATTTCTCCTTTTCCCCGTAGTACGTATATATGTGCGATTCTCTCACATACGATTGATATAGGTACGAGAATAAGCTCCATTCGGGCGACCCAAATACAATTTCAGATAACCCGGGATATACATACCTTATCACATTTTGTCATACCTCTCTGATCTCAGTCTCAGTCTAAGGGTTCCCAAAAGAGGGTGATCTCTTCTCTGGCCGACTTTTGATAAACTGCTTCTCAACCTCCTCGAGATCAAGCTCGAGGACAGCCTTTTGGTGAATGAAAATGAGTAGGAGAATGAGTGGGAGTAGGAGATATGCGACAGACGGTCCGAGAACGAACGTTCTGCTGACGCACTTGATACGAGGACCGTCAAAAACAGGCGTACTATTATAACCGCCTATAATGAATGTTGCACCGGTCTTCTGTTCCCATACATCAGCCAAATTTTGTGGGGGCAAAAACATAGTCTTGCCCCCACGGCCTCCTGCCAGTGGGGGCAGTCTGCCCCCACTGCCCCCACGGTGGCGCCGCCCTTGTTTCCCACCGGACTACCACAATCCCGGCTGCTTATGCAGCCTTGCTCAGTGCTCACGTCCACAAATCTTTTCCGGCGAATGGGACCGTTCGCGTTGTAACTCTAGCCGGTATAGCGTAATTTCCCATGTGTAGCTCTCACACTTGCCTGCATTTCATTTCTGTTTTTTTTTTTCATAACGATGCCCACAGAAATAATCGTTATTGACTGTATCATCAAAAATAAAACTTCCGAATATTGTCACGAACCATCTTTCAAGGTATGACGATTTGCTTTCTACGTTGACGCCATTGCTTCTATGGTAATGTGCAACGCATGGAACATATGTGTGAGTCTGGAGCCTTCTCTGTCGTCTCTGAAGAACCTTGGTCGATTCCCACGCGGGACCGTATCGCTATCGTCCCATCGTTATTCAGCATGTGCGGCCGAGGAGTCTGCCGGGTGCGGCCACCCACACCTGAGCTGCCTGCGCTATGAGGACGAACGGTGTCGCTGGTTTAGCCGTGTCACCTGGGCACACATTGACACACTGACGAGCACACTCAGGAGGACGTGAAATTCGGCTACCTCGTGGACGCGCGGCGTTTGTTTATGGGTAGCGGGCAGACTGTGCTTTCTCTACCGACAGAGACAACAAATAACGGAACTATAACAAATACCGTGACTGTCAATCACGAAGAACAAAAACAAAAAATCATTTTAATCGTCTTCTATCGGCATCCGACCTCAGAACGGCTAGCTGCCGGTGAATTAAATTCCGTACTTTCCGAGACAACTCGTAAACTTGATCTAAATTAATTTTTTATCGCGCATGTAGTTAGGTAGGGGAAGCTGGGGGAAGCCCGGGCGCGGGGGAAGCCCGGCCACCCCGTTTCCGGCTAAATTATTCACAATAAAATGCTCAACTGTTTGTCCTTTCAGCGTGGCAGCTAAGGTAACGCCAGCAAAAAAGTTAAGGCTGACAAAAATTGCATATTGTTAAAGTTATAGCGCAAAAATGATATTTTAAGGATTTTTAGCTAAAAATTTTTAGCTAAAGAGATATCTTGCACTGTTAATGTTATACCATACAGTACTAATATTTATACGAATGTTATGTAAGGACC